GTAAACAATACAACGACTTGTAGATAAATGGCAAACGAATCAATAGAATCGATTCGGTCAGCCCTCGCTTAGAAAAGAACAAGACAGAGAACAAGAGAGTAACGGTAAATTCATTTGCCACTTGCTTAATAATAATAAAGTATACGCTAGCATAGCCCATGTGGTTCTGGCATAGAATAGACTAACTCTCTTTTTCTTTACAGCACTTATTCTGATAAATATATTAAGTCAATCAGTGGTCTAGTAGATAGATAGATAGATAGATTTATTTACATTACTTACAGCACACAAATTACAATAAAAAAAAAACATACACATAATAGACAGTAAAAGAGATAAAAGAATGAAAATAAAAAAGCACAAATAAAAAAAACAAAATATATACACTTACTATATAAGCTCTGTTTAGTTTGTAATTAGATAACACAGTGTCATATACGAGGTCTGTCCGGAAAGTTCGTATAAAAGTGTTCTGGAATGCGAGAAAGAGGAGTGGGGAGGCCAGGTAAGCGCAGGACCCCTTCCTTATGTCCCTAACAATGCTTCAGTTCTGGTCTGACCGCCGTGCGGTGCGAACTGGCTTGTCACGCCATCTGTGAAGTTACCTCTTAACGAAACCCCGTCGGCATGGAGCCCGCTTCCGTTGAAGAGCAGCGCGTCGTAATCAAGTTTCTCTCGAAACTCGGCAAGAATGGCCGTGAAAGCAAAGAGTGGAAGACATCCGGGGAACCACGAACAAAAAAATCAAGAAAATCCCGCTCAAATGTCAAGACAATGTTGATTGTTTTTTTCGATGTTCGGGGGATTGTCCATCAAGAATTCGTCCCTCCAGGCCAGACAGTTGATGGAAAATTCTACGTCGATGTGCTCAGACGCCTCAAAGCTCGTGTGGCACGAGTTCGTCCAGAATTGGCGCGAGAGGGGCGTTGGATTCTTCACCACGACAATGCCCCTGCCCACACCTCTCTTGTTGTCCGTGAGTTTTTGAGTAAAAATTCCATTACGGTGACCGAACACCCCCCTATTCGCCGGATTTGGCCCCGTGTGACTTCTTCTTGTTCCCAAAAACCAAATTGGTACTTCGGGGGCGGCATTTGGGGGACATAAATGAGATAAAAAAAGCTACGACGGGGCAGCTGAGAAACCTACAACCAGAGGACTTTCAAGGAGCCTTCTCACAGTGGAAACGGCGTTGGCACAAGTGCATTATGTCACAGGGGGAGTACTTTGAAGGGGATAAAATTGATTTACCTGAATAATTGTGAAATAAAATTTTTAAAAAACTTTTATACGTACTTTCCGGACAAACCTCGTATTCTAGTGTCCTAGATAGAGAACTAAATTACACCACATTTTGTAGTTTATACATAATTTTTTTTTTCTCCTTTTTTCTCGTAATTAATTATTAAAACAATTTGACTGCCGACATTAACAGATTAAATATATTCCAGATAAATTATCTACAATAATAAATAACACAAACAAGGTAAAAAAATAGTAAACAGTTATTATATGTAAAAATTACAAAAAATACATATTTAGATAAGTCTCGGCCTACGCCAACTACAATATATAAACGACCAATTTATTAGGCTCCACAGGGAGTTCTATAACCCGCGTTATAGTCATAGCGTAAGCGTGTAAACTGGGTTCAACTTATAATGGGCAATGTTATAAACACAATAACTGAACTGGAAGTGAAAAATTTAAATTATTTAATAACTCAATTTTTTTTTATTATTTCTGCTTTTTCTTTTTTCTTCTTTATACAAGACTAACATGCTCGTGGTCGTTTTTTTTTTTTTAAACTATATACCTATTCATCATAAACAATATAGTTCAATTTCACCATAAACTACCTGACCTAACCTATAAGTTAGCTAAACGTTTGCATGCCAAGGTTACTACTACAAATAGTAAATGATGTCATACCGTCATTCGGGGTCCAATGACGCTAAATACTTTTTATTGTTGTAATGTGATCCATCTAGCAAACTAAAATAGCAATTCCAAACCAAGTAACGCCATATTTTTATGGAATTACCACAGACTATAAAAAGTAATTCCAAAGATTTCTTTAATAATAAGGCTGAAAGTTGGGATAAAGTCAGTTACTGTGGCGGCAGACAAAAGGTAAGACTCATCAGGAAAGCCTTAACAGGACACATTCCAGTAAAACACATCATACTAAATTATATCAGCCGTTAATTGCCCACTGCTAAACATAGGTCTCCCTCTATTGGTGGGGCTTTACCAGTAATTGATACACTTGGCAGACAGGTTGGCAACTGCAGTTAGGCCTTGGAGATGTTTCAAGAGAGATGCTACTGCCCATCCCTCGTTCATTAATATTCCTTAGTTAATATTAATATCACCTTACAACATTCACGGGAAAGGAAGAGCTATTCTATGCCAGGCCCGTATGGTGAAGAATATATTACACAAAATAGGTCTATCTTCAGATACACTATACAGTGAGCCACTAGCGATGGAGCCGATACACTTGATACTACCCTATCAGGTCAACCTTAACATGATCACTCCTAGAAACTACCATGGTTCATTTCTACTGTACTCATCATAATAGACAACTGATGTTTATCCTCACTAGTACCTAGCACACACCAATGGCGCAGACAGGGTTACCATTCGAATTTCAGTTTTTAAAACTCATCACACAATGTTTATAAAATTTTCTCCTAACCTTATTTTATAATTTATATAGTTTTGCAAAATTACTGTTTACTAGGCTGTTGTAAACTAAAAGTGTAATAATTTTACCTTAAATTTATTACAATATGAATACATATTGGTCCTTGCAATAAATAATTTGCTGTGATTTCAATTTGAAATTTAAATTTTAAAGGTTGGTTCAAAAAAATGGAAGCTCAGAATCAATCCTGATATCATCCAACATACTTATCAAGATATCTGAAATACACATAATTAACATTAATTACGTATATTAAAACAGTCATAAAAAATTTGGAAGTTTTATATCTGAAATATGATAATTAGCTAATTAGTAGAATTTCCCATAGCTGCCACCGAAATGGGAGACAGCAGGATAAATGTATGTAGCAACCAGTGTGTATGATTATATACACCTGGAAGTATATTAATTCATCCATAAGTCTCAGACCAAAAACGTAAATGTAAATAGGACTCCATTTTCTGCACTTAGCCTCTTCAAGTCTCAGACCAATAATAAAACATGCTGTAATATACTACTAAATAAAAAACTACAGCCATTGTTCTGAGAGGGATACGTAAAAAAATAAACTTAGACATATATACATGGTGTAGACAAACTAAGTACAGCTTGTAATATGAGTAAGTATTTTATGCATAGAAACACCTAGACCAATATAAGCATACTCATTAATACAAATGTTTGTATTATGCAAGAATCAAACCTGTGACCATTGGAAAATAAGGTATAATATTTTTTTTTTTAATTGGTGAAAATAGAATGACAACATCACCTACATATCGGTATATGCTGTTGCGGCCCCAGTGAACAATGATAGATTAAGAAGAAAGCAGATCAGTTGACCCATCATCCAGGGAAAACATATGGAGGTTGACCCAATGGAGTACTTTGTTAGCAATGAGGTTGTTAAAATCTATCACTAACAATATCTTTCCCCGGGGGAAAGGAATTGTTAGCAATGGAGTTTCTCAGCCCCAGTGCTAGCAATATGCCTTATTAGGTCGACCTCCATGTGGTTCCCCCTGGAAACCATCGTGAACAATTCTTGTTGAATTCGTCACGATGGGCTAACTGACCTACTTCATCCTCACCTATCATCCTTCACTGGTGGCCCGCCGGTGTATACCGATAGCGCGGGTGGGGTTACCATTCTTAAAAAGTGTTATATTGCCCATTATTTATAAAAGGAAAATATTTGATAAAAGGAAATAAACAATTTACCCCACTTATCAAAATATACCTAAACCAAATAAACAAATCCAAAGGAATCTCCTCAGATCATCGAATATGACTATTTTAAGACAAAATTTATAAAAGTTGGAAGAGTTAACAATGAGACGATGAAAGAAAAAATTACATTACAAACATTAATTACTGCTTTTTATTTTAGTGTTACTTAAACATTTGAAATAATTTCAAAACCTATTTCTGGCATCCCCTTGGACACATTAAAATAATATATTGATGGGTTGACCATGATTTTACTGCTTAATTTTATAAATTTTAAAACTACAGGAAATCTACAAAATAAGTACAAACTTTAGCATTGTTTGCTAAAGTTTGTACTTATTTTGTTGTCATTGTTGTCTCTTTGTTAATGTCATAAGAACAATGAATGAATGAATTTTCGTTATAACTTTTTTAATGTAAATTAATAAGTAAATACATTTTTCTTCAAATAAAGTAAATATTTAGTGAATAAATCTGTTAAAAATATAATAGAATATATAACTAACAACAAAAATAAAAAATATTTCACTTTTAATAATAAGTCAACAGCATTTTAATTTCGAGAATAAAGTACATAACCAAATTTTACTGATTAATATAATTATTTATCATAGTATAGTGCATAGTACAAATAATAACAACAGATAAGATTTCAAATAAAAACTAACTCTAAAGTCACTTTATCACCACGTTCTTCATTTCGTCTGCCATTTTATAGGAGAAGAGACCTTGTTTATTATTAAAATTCAACCACAACGGTGACATTATACAGTAAATTCTGTGTATTTACAAAGATGCTATTACATTTTATAAACGATAAAATTACCAATCATTTATTTTTTCGTGTTGATACAAAATATACGATCAGCTGATTTCTTTGTTTGACTAGGCCAGCGAATAGCACCATACTACGACAAGATGTTATGACACGTCAGACGATTTACAAATTACGTAAACTACCAAAATTTATTTACAATCCCATAAAAATCACTCTGATTTCATTTAATACCTATTTTCGCAAATCATTAATGTAAAAACAAACCTTGAAAGTTCTTACCTTTGTAGTGGACTCGAAGATTGTTTTGCGACAAACCGATGTAACTAAATTTGTCCTTGGTACTCCATGATCTTGGCAATGGTGTTTCATCTTCATTTACGTTAGGATAAAGTAATTTTAAACGGTCTACAGTATCACTTTGCACTTGATTTTGGGAATCCATCGTCCCCCGTCCACTACCTATCGCAGCCATTTCTAATTTCTGTATTTCATGTCAGTGACGTCACATCCACTAGTTGTTGAATTTGCAAATAGGTGGCAGCACTTCAAAACACAGATCATAGAGAACAAAACAGTAATCAAATCAAATGATTTTATCTCTAATACATTACTAATATTTCTGGATTTTATCACAGTATCAAGTGAAAATTGAACATTAAAATTAATAAGTATAATGTAATTTTTTTATTTCATATACACTATGAATTTCAGGAAGGCACCTATTACACAAATTCTTCTTTATGAAAATAGGAAAGATTATTACCACAGAAACTAATAACCACTTCAAAGATAACGATTAATGTTGATTAGAAGTATAGAACAATGATATAGAATAATTATTATATTAGTTAGCGCAATTAGAAAAAAGGTAATACTGAATAAAATATGAATCAAAATAGTTTTCCCAAATTTTTAAAAGATCTAACCATTACCATTGCTAACAAACTGCAACAAGTGAACAAGAAAACTTCAAGTGAAGTATTAGAAACACAACAACTGTACTACGATGAAATATTAGAGGTAAACATTCATCATCGTCATCAGTTATCATTTCGCACATTCATTACCAAGTTTCCAACAACTGGACATCCTGGCCCTCATCACAAAGACACATGGTCCTCATCACAAGGAAAAGTCTCCTTGCTTCCAGTCTATTACTTGCTGTATTTAAGACTGTTAAACTTGAAACAGCTTAAAAATTGTCTACATTGATAGCTCTGTCCTATTCAGTTTATGAATATCAAGCAGCTGCGCACATGGCTGTTTTAGGTTCTTGGCGTATTATGGTTATTACAATGTAACTATATAGCCTATGGCATAGTGCCATAGGCTATATAGTTACTTTTCGTAAGTGATGCTTTCTACTTTCTATTTGGTAGGTCATTAGCAAACCGTCAGCTTGTTTTATTTCCAAGTTAATACCATTATTCGTTTAAGCTATACTTGAGGCCGATTTTAGTTTATCTAATACAGTGGTACAAAATGTTTGAAAGTGCCCAGTTGGCTGAAATATTACCAAAAAATTGGTCCAACAATTGGAGAACTTGTTGCATTCGCGGCTAGAGGAAATTCTATTGATACATAGCACCTCGTCCCTGGATGTCTCCCAACCGCCAAATTCCTATCTAAAGATTATACTAGTTATCATGAATAAAACTATTAGGAGTACTCAAAAGCTCAAACTTTACACGAATCATCGTAGTCTTTACATAACTTGTTGAGTTTAAAAAGCCGCTTGAACTGAGCGTGTTGAATTTGTTATCCTTAATCTACGAGTATAGCTGAGGGGCATTACAAAAGATAGGCGGGCTATGCTATAACTCATGTAAGGTGGACTTTTTAATCCCTTTCAGCGATAAAAGAAAATCGGAAAAATATAATCATTCCACTGTACTCGTATGCTTACAAATGTTTCTGTTAAAATATCGATTAACGGATTGAATAATGATAATAATTATTAACGAAAAACTTAACTACTATTAAACTTTCATAAAAGTTCAATTCTTACACATGCATCCAATAACAACCATAAACTAATTTAACATTTGCAGATATATCAAGAAGCTTTAAAAAATTTAATTGACAACACAGTAACATATTCAGCAATCCTAAAAGAAATTAAACAAGCGTACGAAAATGCTATTGGCATAAGAGATGAGCGCATTTCACAGTTTATTACACAAGATGTAAGTAGTTATATTTCATATTATTTTTTGTAAATACAAATTTTCATCTACGTTGTTATTATAAGATATAAGACGAGAAAGAAGATTATACAACTGCTTAAGTCTAATGTATCTTTTTAACATATCTTACTCGGCAACAGTTTTAAGTATCCTCTATTCTATAAAGCACAAAGCAAGTAACAAACTTTTTAATGATAAATTTAGGATAATGCTCTGTCATTGAACTTTCACTCGTGTATATCATTCAACTGCATTGTTCTTGTAGGCAAGATAAACATACAAAAAAATAAAATCTTTATAGTTTGATTAAACGCAACAAAGAAATTACATAAATCTTTACTATCTAAATTTAATAATAGAAATTTTCTTATTGTCTTCATTTTAGAAAATAATTTAATAAACGACCATAATAATGACTCTATCACATAAACATAGAATATTAATTATTCTAATACTGTATTCTGAAGTTATAATATGCATTAATTAATATCTAATTAAATTCAACTAAATGTTACAATAATATGACATTAATAACTTTATAGTAACTTAATCTGTGGCTTACGTATTGGAGTCTGTGATTTGACCATTGACAATTTGACAATTATTTGACGTAACATTGCTGTATTGTTGACAATCTGACATTGACAAACAAATAAAAACGGAAAAAGGCGGGAAACTCGAATAAGAACAAGCGGGTTTTTTAAATTTTTTTTATTAATTTATTAAAACTATCTCTATCAATTCTTATTATTGAATAAAATATTATATTTTCACTAAATTCAGCGACAGTAATATAATTAGCATTCATGGGGAAGCGCAGTTGTAGAAAAAGGAAAAAAAAATGACGATTCAGGTGATGTAGACCATGAACCTTGTAATGACAAGGATATATATTCGGAAGATACTTCTACTGACTCAGAATCTGAAATTGATAAGGCCGATAAGTATAAACCTTACTACGTCACAGATTATATTAGAAGATATCCCGAGGAATCCCCTGGGACAGAATTTGTTGTCTTTGTAGAATCCTCAGATAGTCAGAAAACCATTGGATCCAGAGACTTGCTCTCACTCTCCTCCTGTTTAAAACGATTTAATAAAGGGGTAACTTATCTTAGATCTATAAATAAATTCAAAATCGGAGTATACTTTCAAAAGCCAGACTTAGCCAATGCTTTTTTAAATAATAAAACTTTTTTAAATGACTACCATTTTAAGGCCAGTATTCCTGCTTCTTCAACAGAAGTTACAGGCGTTATTAGAAATGTACCTACAAATATATCTAATAAAAAAATATATACTATGATATCGAGTTCTAAGAAAATTATTGCTATTAAAAGAATTTTAAGAAAAAATACCTTGACTCATGGATATGTGTTACAGCCAACTCTAACCGTGACAATTACTTTTGCTGCATCTGTATTACCTGAATATCTGGATATTGGAGGTTGGCGCCACAATGTCACTCCATATATACCACCAGTTAAACAATGCTACCGGTGCTTGAGGTATGGACATTTAGCTAAATTCTGTAAGAATTCTGAGCGTTGCAGCATCTGCAAAGGTGAGCATAATTATAAAACTTGTACAACTGGAATGGAAAACGCTATTTGTGTACACTGCAATGGAAATCACACAAGTGTATCACCGCAATGCCCTGTTAAACAAAAGAAAATTGCTGAAAATAGATCTAAATTCAGACCTGCTTCTTTTGGAGATATACTTAGCACTGAAATATTTCCTAAACTGGGTAACAAACCTAAAAAAAATGTAGACCTAATTTCAATTCTAAATTCTGATAACAAGAGTTTATCACTTTTAATAGAAAGCATAATCAAACTTATTTCACTACATAACACAAAGAACACATCTATTAACACTAAAAGTGTTTTGAATGTGTTATATGATACTTTTGGTAATAGACCTATTTCACAAAATTCAATCGAGACCAATTAACTATCATACAGTGGAACGCTCAGAGCCTACTGAGCAATCGACATATTTTTACACAATTTTTAAATGAACATCATATTTACATTGCTCTCATCTCAGAAACTTGGCTAAAACCACATTACAAATTAAAAATTAAAGATTATTGTATAGAACGAAATGATTGTGGTAATAACCACAATGGAGTAGCGATTATTATACATAATAGTATTAGATATAAAAAACTTCACTCTTTTTTCGACAATTCTTTGCAAACTATAGCTATTAGTATTGAAGTTAATAATTCTTGGTATTCAGTTGCCAGTATTTACTGTCCTACCAATAGTACACCTAGTTTTACTAAAGCCAAATTTAAGTTCTTTTTGGAGTCTCTTCCTAAACCCACTATCATATCTGGAGATTTAAATGCACATCATACTATGTGGGGTTGTACCTCCACTAATACAAGAGGTAAAGACATTCTTGATTGTTTAGATGAATGTAATTTGGTACTATTAAATGATAAGCAAGTTACTACTGTTGGCTCTCATATTTGGAGACCCAATGGCCTTGATTTAACTATGGTATCCCCATCCATATCATTAAAATGCGAGTGGTCGGTTCATGATGATCCGTTAGGAAGTTATCACCTGCCGACTTTTACTAAAATAAACACAAAGAACTCTTCATCAACTCCGTCAGGTGAACAACATGCTCCTATAGATGAAGTTAATAAACTTTTGTTAAATCGTATAAACCTACGTCTCGTTAATTGGGATCTTTATTCTGAAACTGTTAATCAATTACTTTTGGATTTCGAGTATGATGTCAATGAACCCTTAAACAATTACAATAGGTTCTGTAAAATTATTTTGACAGCTGTGGAACGTTCCGTTCCACGTAGGAACTTATCAAATAGCGGTGCAAATACTTCAAAGAGGCACAAACATATTGCAGTACCTTGGTGGAATAACAGGTGTGCGACAGCTGTCAATGATAGTAAAGCGGCTTACCTTAGGTTTAAACAAAATCCAACTCTCGATAATTACATAAATTTTAAAAGAGTTCAAGCTGTTAAAAAGTTAGTAATTAAGCAAGTAAGACAACAGGGGTGGCAGGAATTTTGTTCCAAATTTAATAGATTAACACCAATTTCCACTGTTTGGCAAAATATGAGAAAACTAAATTCAAAACATCGTCAAAATCATTTTAAAGATATATCATGGGTCAATGATTTTTTACGCAAATATACTCCTGATTTTGTACACTCACCTTTTGATGACAAACAGTTTAATTCTGTTAATTCATGCCCAAAATTTCTCACTGACCCATTCTCAATTGATGAAATATCCAGTGCAGTAAAATCTAGAAAAGATACAGCTAGTGGCCTTGATCGCTTAACATACAATATGTTTCGATTGCTGAATAAAATAAACCTTACTAAACTCTTACAAATTTTTAACGATTTATGGAAGGACTGTATTATCCCACCAGAATGGAAAATGGATTGTTTGATTCCAGTAATTAAACCCGGTAAAGATCCTACAAATTTCGACTCCTATAGACCTATAACATTGACGTCCTGTGCAGGCAAATTATTCGAACAATTAATTAAACAGCGTTTAGAGTTCTTTATTGAAAGTAATAGTATATTACCATCGAATCAATTTGGTTTTCGCCGTGGATATTCAACGCGCGAAAGTTTAGCGAACTTCTATGTCGACCTTAGTACTGCTTTGAATAACGATGAATATGTTCTATCTGTTTTTTTAGATGTCGTAGGAGCTTTTAACAATGTAAATTTAACAGTTCTATCTTCGATTTTATCCTCATTTCTTCCAATGAAACTTATCGAATGGATTTATAATTTTCTTAGTAATAGAGAAGTGTATGTTAAAGTAAATAGTAAATTAATAGGACCTAGGTTAAGCTCTAAAGGAGTATGTCAAGGTGGTATTCTAAGCCCGCTACTATATATTTTATATATCTATAAACTTAATTCAATTTTAGGAAACAGTGTGAACAACTTGCAATTTGCCGATGATTTATTAATTTATATAAAAGGAAAGAATATTATTGATATGCAATTAGTGTTAAATGAGTCATTAAAAAGACTTGAGAAATATTTTTCTCTTCTTTCCCTCGATATTAGTTTAACCAAAAGTAAAGTAGTTGTTTTTCATCAAGTTCATAAATATGTTCCATTAATGAATATTATATATAATAATCAAACTCTTCCAACAGACTGTAGCGTTAAATTTCTGGGGGTAATTTTTCATCAAAATTTAAAATGGGATCTATACGTTGATTGCTTAGTAGATCGTGCTTTAAGAGCCACTAATATAATAAGATCTGTAATTGGTCGTAACTGGGGAGCTGATCCTAAAATTATCCTTTTACTTTACAAATCTCTTGTTAGAAGTAATTTTGATTACGCTTTCTTTTGTTATGCCTCAGAACATAAATTAGTAGAAAAACTCGAAAAAATTCAAAATATGAATTTAAGACTTATTTTAGGTGCTATGTATACTTCTCCAATTATCTCAATGCAAGTAGAATGTAATTTGCCTCCTATCCTTCTTCGTTTCGAATACCTAAAACTCAAATTTCTCTTCAAAGTTTTTTCAGTTTCCAATAACCCACTCATACTCAAATTATTAAATTGCCCCATTTCTATGTTTTTGAATAAAACTATTGTCAATGATTTGAATTTACGAGATGAATATAACATCTATAGTAGTAAGATACTTCCTTGTTATAATGGCCTTTATGAGAGTAAGTTCTGTAAGATCAAAATTGTTATACGTAAAGACATAAAAGAAAAGCACGATATGTATGAGACTTTATCAGAATTTATTGACTACAGGCAGATATATACAGATGGTTCCAAAAATGCACTTAGCACTTCAGTGGCTTTTTACGATTTGTCAAATAGATTTGGTCACGGTTATAAAATTTCAACTTTGGCTAGTATTTACACAGCAGAAGCAAAAGCTATATTTTTAGCATTAGAATACATAGAAAAACAGGTACTATATTCGAAATGGATTATAATTACAGATAGTATGAGTGTTCTTATGGCATTAAAAAATAACACATTCATTTCATCATCAAACTACTTAATTCAAGAAATTCGTAATAAATATTATCATCTCTGTACTATATATGGAAAAGATATTATCTTCATCTGGACCCCTTCACATATTGGAGTGTTTGGGAATGAACAAGTAGACACTTTGGCTAAAATTATTAATTCAAGTGCTGCTCGTGTTCAAGATTTACCCCTTTGTTACTCAGATTGTAGTATTGGAATACATAAAATCGTTACAACTAAATGGGAGGAGCATTGGACTCAAATATTACAGACTAAAGGCAAATGGTACCGCAAAATTAATTGGCGTATTGGAAAACCGTGGTTTTGCAAAGGAAAGGACACAAACAGAAAATTTTACACCAATATTTGTAGATTACGAATCGGCCACGGACATTTCAACGAACACCTGCACCGAATGGGCATGATCGCTTCCCCATCATGCACATGGTGTAACTCAAATACAGCCCAATCTCTACATCACCTTTTTTTTGATTGCTCTGAATTTGTCATTCAAAGACACATTATGTTTGACGAACTTAGGATTATCTTCAAAAAACCCGAAAATATCCCGCACTCAATCCCGCTTCTCTTAAGATTTCCTTCTTGTTTCAAAGCTATTTTCACTTATATTACTACAACATTCAAGGAGCTATAAGAATACTTTTATTGAATTACAAGACAATGATTTTTTATAATTATTTATTTTTAATTTGATAAATCCACTGGTTTAAGAAAACTCAAGAAAAGATATTTATGAAAATGTACTTACCGGATTTGACAAATGAAATATTGAAGATTATGACAATAATTGAAGCGACATTAGAAAAATAAAATTCCAGACAAATTATCTTTTTGAAGACTAGGCAGCATGGTCTCCGACCTTAGCCTGTTCCAAACGGAACAAACGTACTAAAAAAAAAAAAAAAAAAAACAAATAAAAACATTACCTACTTTTTTTAATGTTACTTTTTTCCATTTTTCTTACAATATTTATTTATTCTATTTAAAAAATTGAAATTTTAATTGCCATGTACATGAATGATAAATAGATTAAGCCTTAAACATATTATATAAAAGAGATATCTATAGATTGACCAAATGGCTTCCGGGCCGTCTACTATTACGACCGGTGATCACACTGTGTTGGTCCTCGATGGTGGTTTCTCCTCGCAGCTCTCATGCCACGTTGGCACCACCGCTGATGGTGACCCGCTGTGGAGCGCCCGCTTCTTGCAAACACATCCAGAGGAAGTAGTTAACACGCATTTGGATTTCCTACGAGCCGGTGCCGACATTATCATGACCAATACTTACCAGGCGTCCATCGACGGTTTTGTAAAATACCTCGGCATTACTCCAGAAGAAGGCTATGCTCTCATACAACGGGCTGTAGAATTGGCAAAACGTGCCCGTGATACATACATGGAAGAATGTCAAAACAATGTCGAGAAAAGCCCTTTGATCGCTGGGTCGGTAGGTCCGTATGGAGCTCACTTACATGATGGATCCGAATATGACGGTAGTTACGCGGATAAAATAGCGCCAAAGACATTACGAGAGTGGCATACCCCTCGGATTAAGGCTCTAATTGAAGCAGGAGTTGATTTATTGGCCTTTGAAACTATTCCATGTCAAAAAGAAGCAGAGGTGTTGGTGGATATGTTAAATGACTACCCACAAATCAACGCTTGGCTCTCGTTTAGCTGTAAAGATGACAAGAGCCTTGCTCATGGAGAAGATTTCCAAGAAGTGGCAAAGAAATGTTGGGACTCTGATCCTAACCGTTTGGTGGCGGTTGGTGTTAATTGCTGCTCTCCATTGATTGTGGCAAAGTTATTTAAAGGTATCAATGATAATAGGAAACATGCAGCGATACCACTCATAACCTACCCCAACTCAGGGGAGAAGTACAACCCTCAGTTGGGATGGATAGACAGAGACAAGTGTGTGGCCCTGGAGAGTTTTGTTCACGAATGGCTAGACTTGGGTGTTAGGTATGTGGGAGGCTGTTGTAGAACTTATGGAGCTGATATATCTTGCATCCGCACACAGGCCACGAGCTGGTGTGAACGCAAGAAATTTAATGCATCATATTCTGAATGTCCTATGTAGGGACATTTTATTTAATATTTTAACAATTGATATTTTAGTCAAACTGGTTATTTAATTGCTGTCAGGTTAAATTTACTTATATTAACAGGCAAAGGAAATGTTTCATTATTATATAGAATTTGGGCCCAGTTCTATTCTTCTATATGCACTTTTATATAAAAAAGAGCAAATCTAAAACACATTCAAATATTCACTCTATCTATCTGATACAATTCTTACAATTTTTCTTTGTTTTTTAGCACAAAATATGTTTGAATTTAACATTAACAACTCGACTTCTATTCTACCTATAATCTTAACAATTTTCTGAGAATAAGGACCCAATATGAAACATATCCTTTACCAAGTAGCCTAAACAGTACACACATAATTTGAAGTAAATGTTCAAGGGATATGTAACATGTTACTTTAGCCTTAATAAAGTAATTGATGTCCATTATATATTTTAAACAATAATCAACTGCAACAGCCTCTTATATTTGATAGTTGACTTGGAAAGGTGCATTTATCAAACATTGCATGCTCCAGCATATTAGTTATACATTATTAAATTGGATCAATTGTGCTATATGTGCTGGATACACTGCCTCAATCTCCTAGGCATGTCTGCTTGACTGAATCTCGATTAAAAATGAAATCCTAAAAAAATTTATCACTGTTATATTGTTATAGAATATTATATTAAAAAAAATCCCTATACTCTTCCTAGAAATAAGTGGTGCTCTCAATCATACATCGTTTAATAAGGCTCATAGTGTTTGGTGCGAAAGTGATTAAGCTTCAACCATAGAGATAAAGACTGCTTGTTCATGCATTTCAGAAAGTATTTGGCTTGTCTGTTAGAAAGAAACAGAATGATGACAAAATAAAAAACTTGTTAAGGCAGAATGAGGACCTTAGAGAAAAAAATTTGAAATTAACACTTGAAATATCAAAACTAAAGAAAGATATGGGCAAGGTGTGTATAATTTGTATTTTATGATAAGTATATACCACAGAATCACAAAACCTGACTGCTAACAAGATAATTAAATTAAAATATACTCTCCTAACATACCCTATAGCATTTTCAGTCTTACAACGAATCTACCAGCACCTCATCAAAATCTATGAAACTATATTATTAAGCTACCTATAGACTATGTTGCGCCAAAGAAATAGAAATCATACCCTTCTTTCTTTTAGCAGTCGGATAAAAAGAAAATTATATATTATTAATTTCGTCCTTAGAAGTATTGAATAATATTATATGCTGAATGCTCTTAGCCTATATTTAAATTCAGTCGATAAAGCTAACTAGATAGACACAACCATATAAAGATATATTTTTACATGTACATACTCTGTACATTATAGCATAATGCGAATGACAGCTAACAATTTTTAGTGCAACTTTTATTGAGCATATTCCTTTCTAAAAGACCAGCGACATCTGCAATTTCTCTAATGTTACAGTTGCCTATAGGCGGCAGAACCTTTCTTGCATCAGGTGAGACCGTACCATACCCGTTTGCTCCGTGTTTTTAAAAAAAATCTCTATTGTCTATATACATAATTGTATAACTGAATGGTTCTTACGATTTAATTTTAACAACGTGATTGAAAAATTGACACAAACAAAACAATCGTGGTATGAATCTGACGGTTATGCATATTATTTTAAATTGATTAAGATTTTCGAGGTCAAAATCAATGTAACTAATACTTTCTTACAATCAATTATTTAGTCAAGTGTTTCTTACGAATTAGTACTTTTTTTGTCATCTTATGTCACCCGTGCCATGCTATAGCGGACGGAGTATAACTTGGGCTTCACTATGTTATCAGGATTGAATTATATTATTGTATGTACTTTATAATCAGTGTTTTATTTGTTTTGTCAATTGTGGGTGGATCGCTTTGTCTATCAATGTTTGTATGATGTAGTAATTTGCCCTTGAAACCATGTCGATCTCAAGAAAATAATAGCTAAGTAGCTATATTTAGTTTTTTTTTTAAATGGATGATAATGGAATGGTAACCCCACTCACGCTATCGGTATACACCGGCGGGGCACCAGTGAAGAATGATAGGTGAGAATGATGCAGGTCAGTTAGCCCATCGTGACGAATTCAACAAGAATTGTTCACAATGATTTCCAGGGGGAACCACGTGGAGGTCTACCTAATAAGGTATATTCCTAGCAATGGGGCTATCAAACTCCATTGCTAACAATCCTTTTCCTATATTAGGTTGTCTATAGAGATACTTGTTATAGATATCTAAGCGCGATTTATTGTACTTATATTTTTTTTAAATATATATAAACATAAATATAACAACTAAGAGGATCAATATGAAATATATACACTTAAAAAAAAATAGAGAATTAAAAACCTCCTCCATTTCGAAGTTGGTCATTCAATCGTAATCAAAATTAACAGCGAAATATCTCAAAATGAATTATTAAAATCGGTTCAGAGCTGATGAACATATCGCGTAACAAAATGTATAAACTAATTGAAAACCGCCTCGTTTGAAAGACCCTTAAACACTGAACAAAAATGAAAATATTTTGCTTGATAATAAATTCATTTTTTACCGATTTCAAAAAAGAGTGAAGTTCCCAATCTGCTTATATTTTCTCATAAGTTTGTCATTTATAAACTAATTTGGATTCCGCTGTCGGTATACGCTCGCGGGATACTAGTGAAAAATTATAAGTATAGATAAAGTCAGAACAGTTGGTCAAACGTGACAAATTTGTTAGGAATTATCGACGATGGTTTCCAGGCCTCGCGAAGGTGGGCCTAAAAGGATTTTTTTTTTATGCAACTTAGAATGGTAAACAAGCTGACGGTCCACCTGATGGAAAGTGGTAACCGTCGCCTATAGACATGAGCAGTACCATGGACATAACAGAGTATACTGTTTCGCCCATGATATCCCCCATGCGTTGCCATTCCTGAGGACTCAGGTGTTATTCCTCTGTACCCTGTAAATTTACGCCACATCCCACCCTTCAAACCGAAACACAGCCATGCAAACACAACAGCTTCACGGTAGAAACACGAATGGGACAGAGGTACACAAGCAATCGACTTTTATACAAAGTCTCCCTCTAGTACTGGTAGTCGTATGTTAAATGAGATTTCTTAAGCCTCTTTATCCATTTACAGATTAACATACAAACATTTTGGTAGGAACTGATCAATTTGTGCATCGACAACACCAACTGTGCTAGATATTTATCTATACTTCTTAAAAATATCGCCTACCTACCTAGTAAAAAGTTTCGTCAACTATCCATTTACGTAATTTAATTTTTTAATTTATTTAGTAGATGTTCCTTTATGTTCTTAGCTATTAATAATTTTTAGACGCATCATATAATATTTTTTTAATAAACAGTTAATTTTAGGAATAACGTTAGTTTTTGAGGGTATCTTGCGCTTCTTTGTGTTTGTTCTTTTGCTTCTGTGAACATGTGTTTATTTAGTTTAACAAATATACCCGCTTCAACTATAGCACCTCTTAGTCCTTGTGCAAGTATAACAATACATGGTATGGGCGTTCATGCTATGGGTGTCAGAGTATATTTTGCAGTGGCCATGGTGTTGTACATAGAATTATATCAGCATAGAAGTCACAGAATATTCTACCTTTCCAATCGAAGTGTTCATACCTACAAGCACAACTATTTGGCGGCAAAAATAGTGGAACAGAAGTTTATTATGCAGACTACTTGTAAAAGAAGATATGATAAAAATGTTACACTGGCATTTGTCTATTTGTCTGTAAATATTTATTTACAATTTGTGCACCTTCTTTTTAAATATATATATGGCCGTAGCTGGGGAGGGAGGGAGAGGGGCAATGGCCTACCTTAAAAGGCCCAATACCCAACCTTAAAATGAAAGGCCCCAAGAAAATTAGTCAGATTCGCTTTTTCCAAGTCACTTAGTTATGGCTTCTGCCCTACCAAAAAGTTTTTTTGCCCCACCTTAAAATTGGGTCTAGTTATGGCCCTGAATATATGTTACCTTTTCTGATGAAACAATTTCATATAATTTTTCATACGCTTAGTTGAAAGACGACAAATTCTCGGACTACCTCACGTTAATGAGAGAGAGAGACGCTCGGTACACGCTGTACTTCGAAAATCTAGGGCTCCAGTTGAAGCTAAAGGAATTGGACGGCAGTTCGTACCCTGTAGATGATGCATACGGCGACCCGGTAGTACTGAGGATAGCTCTCGATCGGTGCAGGTAATGAGTATGAACGGTAGACTCTACTTAATTAATTATTTAATAGTGTTTATCATCACCGGAGTGTTAGTCATAAATTTTAAACAAATAAATGAACATATTTGTGTCGATGACTTCAAGATTTTAACTCACGACCAATATAATACCTACTTATTACTGGAACGGAACTAGCATCTGGCCAGATCGCTTTAAATAAATACATATATAACTGAGAACCTAAGTAGGACTTTAGAAGTATTTAATTCATTCGTGTTTCTACCGTGAAGCAGTTGTGTTTGCATGGCTGTGTTTCAGTTTGAAAGGTGAGATATGGCAGTGAAATTACAGGGTACAGAGGCATAACACCTCAAGAATGGCGACGCATGGGGCGTATCATGAGCGAAACAGCATACTCTATTATGTCAGAGGCATATCTAGAGGCAACAGTTACTACTTTCCATCAGGTGGGCCGTCAGCATGTTTGTCATTCTTAATAGCATAAAAAAGAGATAAAACAAAAAATCGTTTTTAGAGAACAATTATCGACAACACAAATTGATTTAAAGAAGATGACGGAAGAGTATGCCGACACAGTCCCCAGACGAGAGTATGACATTTTAACAGCCAAAAACTACGATTGCACTAAACAGGTAGAAGCCTTGAATGCAGAATTACAAGCTATCCAAGATACACACAAGCGTGTTCTCAGTAAGTGGCAATATATGAGTATCTACTACAGGACATACATGTCACACTACCTATTTGTATGAAAAACTCAAGAAGTGTACTAGATAGTAACTCTGGATGTGAGAGGATGCGAAGTATGCCTGATTCGAATTATTTTGAGTGTCACCTGATGTTCCTTATGTGGTCTCTTATTACTAAAGCGTTGTATACGTAAACAAGTAGGAAAAGATAGTTAAATAAATATTTTTTCTAATGACAACGATATTTTAACGATATTAATGGACGATATCGGAATGGTAACCCCGCTTGCATTATCAGTATACACTTGTATCGGTGAGTAATTATAGGTAAGGATGAAAACAAAGGGCCTACCATATGTTTTTCAAAATTTCGAAGTTGAACAAAACACAATTTTGAATTTGGAGTACATGATATAATAATATATACCGTTTAAAAGTATTAAAATATCGGTCCTTTGGACTTTTATGGTAGGATTTATGGGAACGAAATGTAAAACTTTACTTACTGGGCCGATTTCGGTGTGAATAAAACGAACGAACGCGAAATGGAATCCGAAAATTCGAAATCTACATTGTTTCTTTCTTGCAATAGCACTAAAAAAAGGACTTGAGGAGGAGCTGATGGAGACACGAGAGCGTTGCAGAGAGCTGGAGCGCGCCGGCACGCCGCGTCCCCAGTGGGAACTCTGCGCTGATTTCATCGGTGGCGGTAGAGATAGGTTCGTTGTAAAGTTTAAAAAATCCTGAAATATCTTCTTAAATATCACGCTCCAGTAGATTTGTTGTAACCTTTGTAATATTTCAACTACGCTTAGACTATACAGGCATAATAACTCCTGGTTATGACTGACTCTCCCGTTTTTTTTTTCTAATCGTGTTTGCTGTTGGCCGTGGATGGCCTTTACAGCTTCACCAAACGCGTATGCAGGAGCGAGTGCAGACGGCACTCCAAGCCCGTGAGAGGGGAGCGACAGAGATATCGGCTCTTACTTATGGACTGCGGCGTACGCCCAAGAGGGTGGCTCGGACCTCGTCTTAGGCCACCGCACTTCGACCCCCGTCAAGGGACGGCGAAGGGTCGGTACGTCGTGATGGGTGGGAACTCGGAGTCGTAGGGATGCGCTCGGGCGCAAACCTGATCGCGCGCGGATCATATGTCGCGTGGAGTCTTCGTCCCCGCCGGCGGGGACGGTATATCTGCGGGAGTTCTTAACGAAGATTCCACAGTAGGGAGGGAGGACTAACTCGCCCGTATAACTGCTACTCAACATATATATAACTTATTTGGAACAGCGTGTTATTATTTGATATGAATTGTTTAACTTTAATGTAATAGATGGTGGCAGTTGGCCAGTGGACTGTCTTCGCGAGACATGCTGAGAGTCCTGCTGAAAGAACTTGGACCTGCTGCGGAGAGCGAACAATTGGAACATTTCGATGGATTTGTAAGTTCATTGTATATATTTCCCTTTTGTTTAACCTAATGACCATAAACGATTTAGTATTTACAGGTATTCATAATTTACTAGTAACATTTCATATTAGTTCCGTGTGTATCCCGGTATAGAATGGACTACCCCTTTCATCTTCTTCGACACCGTGGGTGTCGTAAGAGGCGCCTAAAGGATGGCGGAGGATGGGAAGCAGCGTCCCCCTTAAAAGAACTTTAAAAGCCTAACTGCTGTTGCTAATCCGCCTATCAAGGGAGAGGCTTATGTTCAGCAGTGGACAGGTAAAGGCTGATATGATAATGATTTATTGCACAATTTTGCACAAACTTTAATGCACAATAAAATTCTGTTACCAAATGGGCCCAGCCAGGTTCTACATTTAAAGAAATATTTTATGTTAAAATTTATATACCTGTGTTTCGGATGAGATGGCAGTGAAATTAGAAGTTATGGAAGCATTATTGCTACTTTTCAGTGTTTATCAAATGGTCAACTTCTCCACAATTTCAAGTGTACACTTTTCTCGTGTACAGGGTACAGACCCTGTAATTCCTCCATACTTGCGACATGAGGGCAAGGTTCGCAACCTCCGACTGTCAAGGAGGGAAGTCAGCGTCATCATCAACGACATCTGGCTAGGCAAGATGGAGCACGGTCAGGACATGTCCATGCAGGACTACGTCACCAATTATTTTGAAGACAGGCTAGTATATAGACGAACAGTTTTAGATTTCTCCATCCACTTCTTCGAATAAATGTAAAGAATTAAAAAAGTCCGGTCAATACTCCAGATATCTGTTCACCATGTTTCAGTGCTAGATTTGGGGAAGGGAAGGGCAATCGATTCAATCAGCGCCGGGAGTCATGCATTAGTAAATAGATGCAGTTAATACGACGCTATTATTTTTGACTGAACAGTGGGAAAATAGCCCAGAGGCACCAGGTAGGCTAAAGTCAATTCTAACAAATTTCATCAAAACGATTTCAATCGTATAAATCAAATACAAGTACTTTCAATTTTTAATTTAGCACTGATATTCAAAAATATGTCTACTACTGTTCATCAGAAATAAATAGGTAGATTTACATTATACAGCCATATACGTTAACATTAACCGCTTACCATCAGGTAGGCCGTATTTGTTGTTTGCCACCTCAGTTGTATAAAAAAATACGTAATCTTTTATTGCAAAATTTATGCAAGACATCCTATGTACTTGTAATATAATTACAGGTACCAGCAACCATCAGTTCGAGCAGAATGGGCGTACAACTTGTGCGCAGGCGCTGAACAAATGCTAGACGAGCCGCAGGTAAAGTTGTTCTGGGGCGTGCTGCACGGCCACCTGAGCGAGCGCATCTACTGGAGCCACCGCGCGCAGTGGCAGAACCTCAAGGACTTGCTCTACAAACACAGCAAGGATGGAGAGGTATGAAGTTATCGTCACATGTTTAACACTCCATGAATTCAATATATACAGGGGAAGAGATTATTAGTAATAAGATTAGCGGCCTCAATGCCAGCAATATACAACATCAGGTCGACCTCCACACTATCGCCCCTGGAAATCATCACAGTTATTCGTTATTAAATTTGTCACGATGAGCCAATAGACCTACCTTCATTCTCACTTATCGCCTTTTTCTGATGCCCCGCTCGCGTATATCAACAAAGCAGGCAGGGTTAGTATTCCCTTATCATTCATAAAAACAAATCTCGCTTGAACTACCGAATGGGAGGATCCATAGCGATGGGGAGGAGACTCACCACTACAAGACGCATTGAAATACCTCTACCACATTCCTCTATTGGTAATTGTTGATGTCAATAATTTGGTAATGCGAATCGCTAAGGAATAGAATACACTTCCTGCTTCTTTGTTTCTGAGTAAATACAATCTGGAACTCTTCAAGACGATGGTGAATAAGTATTTTCTGGATAAGAGTGCTTCTAGATCTTATCATCACTTGTCATCTGGTAAGATTAGATCTAGCGTAAACTTAAAAAATCAACTGTCTATTTTCTCACAGACAATTACTGCGGAGGAATTTGAAAAAATTGCAAAAGTGACGTTTCCTTTGAAGAGTGAGGTCGATATCAAAAATCTGATGGATGTGGTGAGGAAACAGCTGAAGCTCAAGATTGCCAGCAACGAAATCAACTTGGACAAGTTGTTTTTGGAGGTACATGTACTTACTATTACTATCATCACACAATGAAATAAAGAGTCCAAAGTTCTAAATAAAACATTTTCATAAATTTTCCAATTTAAATATTTGAAATTAGAGTCTACAATTTCACAACTTTAGACACAACAAGGGACCCACTTGCCAAAAATCATCCATTCGTCAGAGTTTTTTAAGTTAGATTTGACTCATTACGTTCAATAGATTATACTGAAGACGTAAATATAAAATATTACCACCTAGTATTACATTACATTACATGTATGGTTTATGTGATACTATGCTATCACCAACACCAAAAGTATCTTGCAGAACGAGGAAGGTTTCGACCGCGTGGAGTTTGCCCGGGAGTTGTACCGGCAGCGTCAGTTAGCACAGGTGAGTTATCGGAAACAGACTTTATACGAAATCGGTCACAGTTATTATTTCAGCCATGTAGTTCGCTTGCTTTGTACCGTTCGACTTGAAAAGCGAAATTACTGGATACCTAGGTAAGTTTCAAGTAATTCATTTCATAAGAGTCAGCAACGCTTTATATCATCGCGTGTTTTTTTTTTATTTCCTTCTATTCTTGCTTAATCTACATGCAAAATTTAAACATTTAGGTACCTCGTAAAATAGTAGTTATATCATTTATGTACACGCAAAATTAATAAGCCTCTAAAACCTGTCACTTCTTCAGGATAAATACATCCGCGAAGTGGTCAACGAGCTGGGCGGGAAACATGGCGCCAACAAAACTGTCACGGTGGAAAATGTCAAACGAGCATTCGCAATAGTCGACCCCGCCATTGGTAACCAAATTGTCAACTTTTTTAATATCTTCCAATACACGGCACTTTTTGACTTGATATGAAAAAATAGCAGACATGATAGGTTTTTAGCATTAGTTAGACCGATTTGAAAAAAAAAAAACTAATGCATAGCTTAGCCTATAGGCGAGTAGTTTGCACACGCGCCTAATGTGGCCATATTTAAGTGTCTGGAATGGACCCCACACCACAGGTGACTAAATATTTCCTTCATCAGATGTTTTTTCAAAACTATAGATAGTTTGGGGAGGAAAAACAATTACGGAGACTAGTAGCTCCATTGCCAGCAACATACCCTCTCAGGTCAATCTACACGTGATTCCTCCAATAATCTTGGTTCATTCTTGATGAATTCGTTACCATTGGTCAAGTGACCTGTTTCATTGTCACATATCATCATTCACTGGTACCCCGCCATCATATATTGATAGCGTAGGCAGGATTACTATTCAATTATTATACCTTAAAATAAATAAAATTTTGGGAGACTTTGTACAAAAATCGATTGCTTGGGTATCTCTGTTCCATTCGTGTTTCTACCGTGAAGCAGTTGTGTTTGCATGGCTGTGTTTCGGTTTGAAGGGTGGGATATGGCGTGAATTTACTGGATACAGAGGAATAACATCCGAGTCCTTAGGAATGGCAACGCATGGGGGGTATCATGGGCGAAACAGTATACTCTATTATATCCATGGTACTGCTCATGTCTATAGGCGACGGTTACCACTTTCCATCAAGTGGGCCGTCAGTTTGTTTGCCATTCTAAGTTGTATAAAAAAAATACTATACGATATATAAAAGTAGTGCATCATAAGGGATACCATGGGCATCACAATGTACTCGCATTGGGTGGGTCGTTCGCTTCTTTGACCTTTTATGTTGGGTAGTCCGCTTGTTTGACTTTCTAAATATCATAAAATAGCAAATTCTAATATTTGTGTAAAGACCATATCCGTATGGAGCGCTACATCCGCTGGGCATTCTCGGACCAGACGTCGGAGCTGAAGAGCATCTGCCCTCTGCCGCTGCGGACCGTGGCGGCCCGGCTCGCCGCCGGCGACATCGAGCGCGTCGGACCGCGCTACCGCGGCACGCATAGGCGGAACATTTATAAATAGACATATTTCTACTCTATTATCATTGGCATATTTAACATTATTTTCTGGACTGTTAAAAAGACGCAAAAACGTACTCCCTCCAGATATCTTGGGATAATTCTGGAAGGGCATAGCCCATCCAGCTCACTTCTCTATAACTTACCCTTTTACTATCATAAATGTGAGTTCGTGAGATGTGGAGATGGATGTTTGTTACAGTTTTAGGTACAAAACTAAACTAATTCGAATTAAATTCAGTATACTAATAGATTATATCCCAACTTGACATATACGATACTTTATATTATGTAATGATTCACGCAAGCGAAGTAATAATCATTTTAATTGCTGAGTACCTTAAATTAGATACTTAATACGATCTGCTTGAAATAGTATCATGCATCCATTACAGCCAGTAATTTGTTAATCTACTTCATGAATTATGCTGTAGTTGTATAGTAATAAATATATATAAGACACGACAATTGTTTTTTCTATCATCCAAAAATTTTATTTTTAAAAATTTTGATACCTAAGTTGTCTCCTTTTTTAGTTTATCTAATATTCAAAATTCAGAGCGTATACACAAAAGTTAAGGTACTATGTATTTTGTAGAGTATTTTTATTTTTTTTCAAAAAACAAAGATTTCAATATCTTTGTCTCATTATGATTTTACTTTTCTTTTTATTATCTACTAGCGGCCCGTCCCGTCTTCGCACGGGTGGACATTTTTACAACATTTTACATTTTTATCCGATCCTACCTAATTAAATTGACTAAGTTATTTATATTTTTTTATTTATAATTATTTGGATAAGAATTCAAACAGAAGTATGAATAACATGGTGTAATTTTGGTCGGTATTTCTATCAACTTTTAAAATGTAAAAAGTGATCATTGTGACATAACGATAATAGTTGGACATATAGTATCGCGAATTTTTTTGTAGTTATTAATATTTTCTTCAATATTGTAGAACATATTTTTGTTCTATCACCAATAGTTTCCGCAGCGCACGTGACGAAAGATATTTTATAGCATTTTTTTTACACCTTGAGTTACGTTACTAAAGTTTTAGTAAGGATCCCTAATCTTTTCTAGCAATAAATATAGCCTATGTTACTCAGGGTGAATGTAGTTTTGTAATGGTGAAAGAATTTTTGAAATCGGCAAAGTAGTTTTTGAGTTTATTCATTACAAACATACCACACAAAAATACAAATCTTTCCTCTTTATAATGTGATGTAGATAAGTACTACGCTCCGCTATATACCTATGCCCGCACTAATGAATGACTGATAGGCAGCATGATCTCCGACCTTAGCCTGTTCCACAACGGAACAAACGTACTAAAAAAAAATGAATGACTGACTAACGCCCATAAACAGGTGTCAGTGAAGTCAACAGACTGCTGTCAAAACAAACACATGTTAAGGTGTCTAATTTAAACTTTTTGTTTAGATTACTTTATCTTGTTTAAATTTTCTTTTAAAGTATCATAATTAAATTTATTAATAAATATAATGGGTGACATAATAGATAATGAAGAAATTGACAGGGACACTGTGGAATCAAAGGATTTAGAACAGATTTTTAATGAAAAATACACCTTGTTATGTGAAACCGCTGTAACTCTCAAAAAGTCGTATTTAAACAAGTTATCTGGCATTAAGTAAGTACCAAATTAATTAAAATAGTTTTTTCAGACTTAATATGAATTGCTTATATTACTTAAATACAAAATAACCTAAAAAGCATGAGCAGTAGTTTTTTTTTTAAGGTAAGAAAATAGAATGATAACTTCGCCTACACTGTTATTATACGCTGGCGGGGTACCAGTGAATGAAGATAGATGAAATTAGGTCAGTTGACCTATTGTAATGATTTTATCCGAAATTATCTACAATGGTTTTATATAGGTGCAGTAAATAATGTAAAGTCAAACTACTAAACCACTAGGACACCACAATATAATAAATACTTAATCCTTAGGGGGGAAAGGGATTGTTAGTAATGGAGACTGAGAATCCCATTGCTAGCAATATACTCAACCAGATCGACCTTCTCACGGTTCTCCTTGGAAACTATCATGGTTAATTTCTGATGAATTCATCATGATGGGCTAACTGTTTTCATTCATATCTATCACCCTTCACTGGTTCCCCGCCAGTGTATACCGATAGCACAGGCAGGGCTACCATACCATTTTCACCCATCAAAAAAAATACTTAATCCATTTCAGATCATTACAATTTGCTGTTGGTTTATCTGACAACAGTATTGAAGTATATCAGTTGAACAACACATCACTATCCCGAGTTTGCCGGCTTAGTGGCCATCAAAAAGCACTTACTGAAGTGGTGTTTAGCCCTAAGGAAGATCACATCTTGTATTCGGCTGGTCAAGATGGATTATTGAAAATGTGGGATACAAGGACCAGTGGCAGCTGTGTCCAGGAATATAAAGGTTTTTATAAGTTAATTTTTATTGTTGCGCACTTCCTGTGCCCACAAATTTGTCTGTGACAGGGATAAATATTTATTTATTTTACACTTTATTGCACTAAGTAAAAAAAATATATAGTAAATATTAATGAGAAGTGATACTGACAAAAGACAACCTTATCACTAAGTAATCTCTTTCAGACAACTTTATAGTAGAGGACATTGAGAAAAGATAAAGGGTAGCACACTATTATATACATACACATATTTAATGGCAGACATACAACAGAGAGAAGAGAGAGCACAGGAAATAGTACTAAAGGAAGAGGTAGTAGGATTTAACATATCTTCTCCCATTCTCCTCCTCTCTTCTCATCAAACAGCCTTCATACAATTAGTATACATAATATTTAAGATAGAATAAGATTTGCTATTTTTTATCCTGGTCAATTAATATATCCCTGATATTTTTTTTATACAAGCTGACGATACACATAATGGATAGTGGTATCCGTCGCCTATAGACATGAGCAGTACCATGGACATAACAGACTGATACATGGATATTGTCACAGATTATAAATATGTTAGTGCTTACTTTATAACACTTAGTTTTAATTATTAGATGACGATGAACCCATAAAACCATACGACTGCATGGACATTTCGTGTAATGGACGAGTTCTTTGTGCTGGCAGTCAGCTGGTGCAGGACGATGCATATCTTGTGTTTTGGGATCAGAGAAAGAGCAGTCCACTTGGAGGATACTGGAATTCACATACAGATGATATTTCTCAGGTATAGTTCTATTATTTTATGTCATATGCTGTAAAAATCCATATATAAAAGTCTTTTACATTGGGGGGGAGGGAGGAGGACAGATACTGTTTGTATTATTATTATTAAAATAGTACTGTTACATATACTTTGTATGGACAGACATGATTGCATGCTGTCAATGTACACTCCTCCCTTCTCTGCTACACTATCCACAGCCACACAGACATGTTAATCTACCATCCACACTCCTCAAGAACTACCAGCTAAAGAGTGCCAGATACAAAATTTTTCAGGCCATACATTACTAACGCCTGTACATTGTACAAATTACACTGAATGGGGGGAAGGGATTGTTAGTAATGGGTTTAACAATGGGCTAGCAATACACCCTATCAAGTCGACCTCTGCGTGGTCCCCCCTAGAAAACATGGTGGTTAATTCTAGTGGAATTCATCACAATTGGCTAACTGACCTGCTTTCATCGTCATCTATCATTCCACACTGGTGCTTCGACAACGAATACCGATAGCACAGGCGGGGTTGCTATTCCATTATCACTCATTATAAATTACACTTAATTATGTAGGTATTATGTCTACTTTCATATACCTATTTGTTTAATAAACATACAAATATTTTTATTTATATCGATTTGTGCATACAGAGAGACGCTGTTGGATGGATTTTAATGAAATCTGGTATTTAAAATAGTAGCTGGCTTATACTCAAGGTTGTTATTACCCTGGAAATCAAATGCAAGACACTCTAAAGATGACTAGAATAGAGATGTGCACAACTACTGGTTAAAAATAAAAATACGAACCAATATCATGTCGTCATCATAATGTAGCTAATGAAACACTTGTATCTTAACCAATACTCTGAGCTATATTTTTTTTAATGGATGATAATAGAATGGTAACCCCACCCGCGCTATCGGTATACACCGGCGGGGCACCAGTGAAGGATGATAGGTGAGGATGAAGCAGGTCAGTTAGCCCATCGCGACGAATTCAACAAGAATTGTTCACGATGGTTTCCAGGGGGAACCACGTAGAGATTAACCTAATAGGGCATATTGCTAGCAGTGAGGCTGTCAAACTCCATTGCTAACAATCCTTTCCCTTCCGAGCTATATTAGAATGCCCTTGGTGTGTAATATACACTCCTCCTATACTAAAAACTATACTATATATATAAACAGTTACGATAATTTAAAAAAAAAAATTTCAGGTTAAATTCCACAAAGAAAAGACTGAAATATTAGCAACGGGCTCGTTAGATGGCCTCATAAATGTGTTCAACATTATGGAACAAAATGAAGATGATGCACTTGTGTACTCGCTGAATGTTGAGAACTCCATAGAGAAGATATCGTGGCTGGACGCGAGGCAGGTAGCGTGCGTCACACAGTCCAACGACCTGCAGGTGTGGGACAGTGAATCTGGTGACCAGATCAAGAGTTGCAGTAGAGATAAGATTGCTAAAAGTATCAAGGTATACTGTAATGACATTTCTTTTTTTTATATTATTTTAAGGGTTTTTACCTTCTTCAGGTATATCAATCCTATTGTACCCTGAACTGATTTCTCAAATAAAACTTTATCTACTTTCCCTAGACGCGGAAAGAGAAGAATTAATGGGCTTCAATAATTTACAGAGATGTTCAAAAATGTCTGGTTTAAGTTCAGCTAACATAGTTTGAATAAGACCAACATTCAATTTCTGTAATGACATTGTTAATATTTAATTACAATCATGAGTTATGTTTTTTAATTCTGTTTTAAGAATTTCATCATAACAATCTTTAATACATTCCACTGGTTCCACTGGTCATTTAATATAAGAGAATGAATAAATCCTACTATGCAATTATTGTGGAGAAGCCAGGATTTTGAGTTTTTTTTACAATTTTATTATTTATTGCATATTACTTCGTAGTGATTTCAGAAATAGGAAAACTATTGAAATGGGCTACTTTTAAATGGCGTAACAAGATTTAAAATACACCAGTTTTTTTTATATTGGTTACAGTTGTCACTTTTATGTTATCTTCATAGATCACACAGTGGTAAACGCAGTCAATGTTGCGTAATGCAAGAACAAGGGGGGAAAGGGATTGTTAGCAATGGAGTTTGACAGCCCCATTGCCAGCAATATGCCTTATTAAGTCGACCTCCACGTGGTTCCCCCTGGAAACCATCGTGAACAATTCTTGTTGAATTCGTCACGATGGGCTAACTGACCTGCTTCATCCTCACCTATCACCCCTCACTGGTGCCCCGCCGGTGTATACCGATAGCGCGGGTGGGGTAAATGCAAGAACAAACATATAGACAGACTGAACAAATTCCTAAAAACATATCATTTTGATTTCTATTGATCGTGTTACGATCGCTCATATGTTTTATCCTTTAAAATCTATATACAGACATTATTTCATTACACATTTGTTATGTTAGTAAGATATTGAGTTTGTTCACAGAGAAGTAAAGGCGATGACTGTTACTTGGTAGACACGTTCATGTCAGCAGACGACACACCACTCGTGTTGGCGGGCTCCTCTGCAGGGAATGGGTGAGTGTACCTAACCTATTTACTGGCATTGCCTATTTATCATATGCAGAAATTACACACAGACTACCAGAAAGAGACTTTATATTATACAAAAGTCGTTTGCTTGGGCACCTCTGTCCCATTTGTGTTTTTACCGTGAAGCATGGCTGTGTTTCGAATTGAAAAGTGGGATATGGCAGTGAATTTACAGGGTACAGAGGAATAACACCTGAGTCCTCAGGAATGGCAACGCATGGGGGGTATCATGGGCAAAACAGTATACTCTGTTATGTCCATAGTACTTCTCATGTCTATAGGCGACGGTTGCCATTCTAAATTGCATAAAAAATATATATAAATTTTAAATTAAATAAACACTAAAATTAGACTGTTTATACTTAGCATGTTTATTAATAGACTGTTTACTATAATTACTTTTATAATAAACAATTATTTGTATCAAATAAATGAATCCATTATGTGTTTAGAAACATATTACGATCAGCGAGAATAACGGAGAAGAAGCTACAGCCAAGCACGAACTTCACAGAAAACAAACAGATGGTCAGGTGCTGCTGGTACGACAAAGATGTAAGTGTCTATCCATCTGGTTCTCTATATCACCGCAAATAGTCCATTAGTAATGTGTACATACTTTTTCAATGTGTGAAAATGGAATGGTAAGTCCACCTGCAGTATCAATATACGCTGGCGGAGCACCAGTGAATTGATAGGTGTTCATAAACGCAGATCAATTGGCACATCGTGACGAATTCTAGAGGAATTAACCACAGTGGTTTACAGAGGGGTACATGGTACATGTGAAGATCGACCTGATAGGGTATATTACTAGCTGTAAGGCTTTTATACCTCCATTTTTAAAAGTGTTGTTTCTTTTTGTTGCTTTAATTGTGTAATTATCATAGGTGTTAAGTGTTGTGTTCACCTTAAATAAATTACTAACAATCATTGTCCCTCTATGTATATACATATATTTTTTATAATGTGGTTTTATACCCAAAATCATTGCAAATAAAATTGTTATTATTATGGATAATAGAATGCATAACCCCGCCTATAATAATATAAATGATATACACTGGCGGGGCGCCAGTGAGGAATAATAGGTAAAGATGAAAAGGCAGGAAAGTTAACCTATCGTGTTGAATACACCTGGAATTCTATCATCGTACGGCTCGCCATCGACAGGGAGTTCACCCTCATACCTTACAGCCTAAATGGTCGCGTACAAAGCGGTTTCGGAGATGTTTTCTCCCACGAACACTCAGGTTATGGAATGAGCTCCCTGCCGAGGTTTTCCCGAGAGACTACAGCATGGGGTTCTTCAAGAGGGGGGTAAAGAGGTTTCTTCAGGGTCGGCAACGCGCGCGTGTATACCTCTGGTATTGCAGGCGTTCATAGGCTACGGTAACCGCTTACCATCAGGTGGGCCGTAAGCTTGTTTGCCACCTTAGTGGTATAAAAAAAAATTTCAACACGACAATGTCCAGGGAGGACCACTTGGAGGTCAACCTGACAGGGTATAACGATATACGCTGACGGGGCACCAGTGAGAGATGATATGATGATATGAGGGATGATACGTGAGAATGAAAAGGCAGGTCAGTTAGCCCATCGTGATGAATACGCTTGGAATTCAGCACGATGGTTTCCAGGGGAGACCACGGGGAGGTCGACCTGTTAGGGTATATTGTTAGCAATGGGAGTGGTAATCCGCATTACTAACAATCCCCCCCTCCTTGTATATACATATTAGGACCTAGAATAATAAACAATTCGTTTCCTACTCCCCAGAGAGACATCCTGGTGACTACGGGAGAGTCGGGCATGATAAGCGTGTGGCAGGGCGCGCCAGCACCCACGCAGAACGGCGGCACCTCCCACAAGCTGACCAGCTCGCTCAGCAAACTACACGTGAACCGACATAAGCCATATTAAAACGCAATTAAAATTCAATCGTAATGCCTTTCATTTCTTAATTACCCACAATGTGTGCCACTGATAACTTTGCGTGTTGTTACATAAATATGTCACTAAAAATATTATATAAAAATAATTACGTACAAGTTATTAATTAACCAATTATGTCACTCAATAAGAGCAAAAACAGAACATACATACATATCTGTCACGCCTGTCTCCCATTAGGGTAGGCAGAAACAATGGAACGCCAAATGCTTCGATTCAAACAAACCTCTTTCGCTTCTTCCACATTCATCAATCTTTTCATACACGCTCGCAGGTTACGGGTACTTTTAATTTGGCCCTTCTTCAGTACGTCGCCTATTTGGTCGACATACGTCCGTCTAGGGCGGCCCCTACCGACATCTCCATTCATTCTTGCTCGATAAATCTCTTTCGTAATTCTTCTTACATCCATCCTCTCCAAATGACCAAACCAATGCAACATTCCTTTTTCGATTTTTGTCACTACATCGTCTTTCAGTGCACACTTCTCTCTCATGACACTGTTTCTTATTCTATCTTTTAATGTAATACCACACATACTTCTCAAAGCTCTCATGTCTACAGCATTTATCTTACTTTCATGCTTCTTCTGCCATACCCACGATTCGCTTCCATACATGAGTGTTGGTGTCAGTACTCCTTGAATTATGGCAAGGCGAGCTTTGCTCGATACATTTTTACTTGACATAATCGAGATCAGTGCACCTTTAACACCATTAAAAAACAGAACATAACCCGTAAAAATAGAAATTCAACGAAATAATATAACATCCACTGCTGTTCACGTTCGCGGACAGTTTGCTTGTCTGTCATTTCGAATCACAATGTTGGATCAGCACAAAATAAAACGACGGTGTCAAGTCAATAACTTAATTCATTATTTATTATCGAATTCCAAAATAAAGGTTAACAAATATGATAAAAATTCTACTAATTCATAGCACACCTGGCCGCACGGTGTTGTCATTTAAAATATTATTATATCATTTTTTGATCTAAAACACTCTGGCGTCGTTAATTCGTAAAACTAATAAAGTTATATAATCACACGTTCATACACACAATTAATTACATTAAAACATACATTTTAAAATTGACGACCCTCGTGGTGCAGCGGTAGACTAGCAGTAGTGGTAACAGGTAAATGGGGTGTGATGTTTAATTCTCGATCGAAGTCAATTTAGAAAGTTGTTTTATCTAATACGGTTCAGGATGGGTGCTTAGCACTGTGGCAATAACAAACAGTTTCTTATGCGACTATCTTTGAGGACATTTTAATGCGACAAAATTGTGAAGGAATGAGACCTAAAGTTATAACTAGTTTTTACCGGAGGGGAAAGGGATTGTTAGTAATGGAGACGGAGAATCCCATTGCTAGCAAACTCCTGGCGGTTCTCCCTGGAAACTATCATAGTTAATTCCTGATGAATTCATCATGATGTGCTAACTGGCCTGCTTTCATTCTCATCTATCACCCTTCACTGGTGCTCCGCCAGCGTATCCCGTTAGCGCAGGCGGGGTTACCATACCATTTTCACCCATAAAAAAAAAACTAGTTTTTACCCGCGACTTCATTCGTGTGACCGGGATATGTTCACTGAGCAGTATAAAAAGTAAACTGGTCGAGCCGTTAAAGCGCTGTGTAACAAATAAACAAACACGTTCACGTTTATAATATTAATAAAGATTAATATACTGGATGTTTCACCGCGCCCGGGTTCAATCCCCACCCCTCCTTCACCCTACTTTCAAGTAAATTCCAGCCTAATAATAAGTATCCTTTTCAAACCAGAATGCTACTAGAAGAGACCAGAAATTGACCCGACTGGGAATCGAATTGGACCGTCATTTACACAAAGCAATGCACCATTGCACCAGGAAGTTCGTTTAAACATTCCATATAATATCTAGGAAATTTCAGTTTAGATCAACATTAATTAATCATCAACAAACTAACAGGGAGTTTCTTTTTCTCTCTTTCGAATCAAACTTTTAATTTTTAAATGTACAATAATTAAAGAGAGCGACAGAAAGCGTGTTACACACGTCACACAGGACAAATACATTTCAGCGAGACGACACTCCATATTACAATATTTACAATCGCCGTCTCAAAATCAATATTAATTTGTACTCAACAATAATCTCGAACACTTATTTGGAATTCCGTATATATCGTCATAGTCGTAGAATACTGACGGATCTGACAAATATTACATATGAAGATCCGTCAGTATTCTACGACTGCGACGAAATATTCGTAAAGCTGGCGCCTGACCTGTGCCGATTGAACGTAATGTAACATTACAATGTGAATATTCGAGTAACATAGTACAAACCGAGCCTAAAATACCAGACCCTTTGGACATATGATGAACAAATCAATAGATAAATAAATACGTTCTCGTTAACGCTCACGTGAGAAAAAATTATATGTCGCTGTCTCGTTCTATCTCATGCATACCATAACGATAACGAATGTATCGATGCATTCGTTTGACAATCGTCTAAGAGACGGTCTTAAAAATATAGGCATCGTAATCTACACACTCGTATTACAATGAGTAAATTACGATAAAAGTTTAGGTCTATCTCTAGTTCTGAGCTGTACCAACTACTCGCACGTTGTAACATATTACTACATCCAAATAAACAAGTCAGTCGCCAGCTTAAGATTTCTACATTTTTAAGTTGTTCTTGTCGTTTATTTGAACAAACAGTAATTTTTAAACTCGCTAAGAATTGGTAGCGGAATTAAACAAAATAATTATAGTCAACTAGTGATTTGGACTTCCGCAAAATGACACCTTGTTCTGTAAAACAGTTTACTAAGAATCATAACATCCAAATTTCCTGTCCAATTTTTATTATTCAAAAATTTATTCTATTAATATTAATACAAACACGATCTGTGCACAATGACTGGAATGAAGTTTTCAATTAACATAATTCAGCAATAAAAAATACTCGTCAAATTTGACAAGAGATCGCATTACATTACATTTCTTAATGGGGTTGTTGTATAAATTTAGCCTGAAATATTTATACAGGGCACGTCGAAAAATAAAATACATATTACCATGGGGAAATATTGGTGTTTTGATGTTTGGTGAACACGCAAGGCCACGCTCGCAACGATCCTAGCGAAATCAACAACTAAGTATATAGCAGCGTCACGTTATGAATGAGATTATGTAATATCTTCTTAGGGAAAAATCTATTCTCCCTGCTTATCTCGCAAGAGGTTTGGCGTAAAGATATCTAGAATTACTCCCAACACCGACTGTTAAGCAACGAACAATACGAAATATGAAAAATCAAGGAAAATCCTCAAAAACGTAAATGAACACTCTCAAGATGTTTTGATATTTGATGATCGGAATTCCGCCACGAAATAAATATGTTCCACGCGAGCAAAACCGCGACGAACGACAAATATGTAAATGTACATTTTGTACATGGTGTAAATAGAGTGTTCACGACATAGTGTCGCATATAGGAAATGTGTATGTGTAAATTACTTATTTAAAAACCATTTTGTGTATTTAAGCTATTACAAAGTTGGAAAGATGAAAATGATGCAGATTTTTCAATAATCGATAAATAATTGTATAATTAAGCGAGTAAATAAATCAGAATAAATCAAATATATATATATATATATATATATATATATATATATATATATATATATATATATATAAAAGAAGCGTGTATAAAAAATTGTTAAATGTGGAAGAAGCGATGTTACCTTGGTTTGAGCATTTGGAAAGAATGGATGAAAGAAGAATTACGAATGAGATTTATCGAGCACGAAATGTATGGAGATAATAAATGAATGAACGAAAATAAATGGAGATGTCGGTAGGGGCCGCCCTAGACGGACGCATGTCGACCAAATAGGCGACGTGCTGAAGAAGGGCCAAATTAAAAGTACCCGTAACCGGCGAGCGTGTATGAAAAGATTGATGAATATGGAAGAAGCGAAAGAGGTTTGTTTGAATCGAAGCATTTGGCGTTCCATTGTTTCTGCCTACCCTAATGGGAGACAGGCGTGACAGATATGTATGTATGTATATAAAAAATGCATATTAGTATATTCCACTTTATCACATGGTGTGTTCAATTAGTTATTATAATTTAATATCTATTTTGATGCAGAATACTTGAGTATGTTTGTTTGTTCGGTTTTTTCTCCACTTCCTGGATGGGTGGCCCATTGTATGCCGTGACCGTACGAATAATTTATTATTTATTTTATTTATTTATCTAATCATATTAAATGTAATATAATTATAAACAGATTTCACTTGGTACGAGTGCGAGCGTGGCGTAGCATACGTTACACAAGGATACAACGCATTCGTCTTTGGTTACATGAGGGGATGCAGAGATCGGCAGACCAGTTGGGCGAGTCTAAAGCCGGCGTCGTGTCATCGGCACATCACTTCGATGTCAAAAACATGGTCAGTCTGAAAGAGAAATAATACAAAATCAATGGATGCTCGTGTTTAATGATGAAACTGATTGGCAGACAGACAAACATCCGAAATTAAACACACATTATTTATGGCTACGAAATTAAAACAAAAGTTTTTTTTATACAAGTTAGAATGGCAAACGAGCTGACGGCCCACCTGATGGAAAGTGGTAACCGTCGCCTATAGACATAAGCAGTACCATGGACATAACAGAGTATACTGTTTCGACCATGATACCCCCCATGCGTTGCCATTCCTGAGGACTCAGGCGTTATTCCTCTGTACCCAGTAAATTCATGCCATATCCCACCCTTCAAACTGAAACACAGCCATGCAAACACAACTGCTTCACGGTTGAAACACGAATAGGACAGAGGAACCCAAGCAATCGACTTTTGTACAAAGTCTCCCTCTGGTCTCAGTATAATTTTAATACGAGTTATTGGCGACCGGCCGATGCAAACTCATTAGACGTTATTGTACTTTTTTATATACATTTACTTTTAGAATATTCTTATTATTTGTAATTTTATATTTTTTTGATATATTGATTTATTGTTCCTTGCTCGCTGTTCAATACATATATTTCGCTAATAAATTCCGTGTCTACATCATTTCATCACCTCATCACAGTCCACCGCTCCGTAATATTTGGTCCATTCGTAGCCATAAGTATAAAGAACCGATATTTTGCTTTTTCATTCTAATTTTTTTTCCAAAATTTTCATTTTCATCTCACACGACTTCATCGTATATTTTTTTCCTAAATCGTGTCATTCTTCATTATAATGGTGCAGACACGCAGTAAGAGCAAATCATTTGTGAATTTAGCAGCCACTGAAGTCGAGCGGTCGGGTCGCGAAAGCCCGGAGTCATCATCGCTACCGCCCGCCCGCCCGGCTTCAGCAACAGCGATCAAGGATGTTTCGTCATCATCGGCTAGATCGGTTACACAACTCGTGGGCACTCCACGTTCGGTAAAAGCATTATCTCGCTGTACCAAGTGCCCTGGTGACCTCTCTAGCCAACTTCAAAAAATCGATGCCCGGGCATCTTCCCAAAACGTGCAAAGTCGTTGCGGCCAACAATCTACTAGTGAACATTCACGATCGTCACGTTCGTCCGCCACCGTCCGTGCACAGAAGTTGGCCGTCGAAGCAGAAGTCTTACGGTGCCGAGTTGCCCGTGAGCGTGAACTCGCGCGTCTTCAGGCGAAACGCGAGCAGGAGCTCGCTCGCTTGGAATCTGAGGCGGAGGAGAGAGAGCTGCAAGCCAAACTCGCTGCACTGGATGCTAAAGATAAGTCTCGTAGCTCATGTTTTTCTAATCGCGATACTGAAATACGTACTGCGACATGGGTTTCAGAACAAAATGCAAACATGACCATGGCAACACATGTCGACATACCTGGTAAGCCACCGACTGTCACCTTGGAAAATACCCAGGGACTCAGTCTACAGTCGGCTGTCTTTACCAACGCGGTACCGTCTCATGAACCATATGTCAACCATGCAAACCATTCGAAATCCACACATGTCATTAGCAACGAAGACTGTGCAACAGTGGCACTGCAACGCTTACAACCTGATCGTCCATCGGCAGATCCTATAGTACAGCTCACTCAAGCTATTACTAGTTTATCTAACTGCCCAAAGAAACCAGAACTCGTCATTTTCTCGGGCGAAATTAGTCAATGGATGGCCTTTAAAAGTAGTTATGAAAGAACTAAATCTAGTTTTTCCGCAGCAGAAAACCTCACACGGCTGAATAATGCGGTTCGCGGACCGGCATACCAGGCCGTGGCGTCACTCCTGTGGACTTCTTGTGACCCACAAGACGTCATGAACGCATTGGAGCAAACGTACGCCCGACCGGAACTCCTCGTTGCTCGCGAGGTCGCCGAGCTACGCAATAGCCCTAAGTTAAGTTCCCCTGAACAATTAAATACACTAGCAAATAAATTACGTAACTTTGTAGTTACTTTAAAATTATTAAAACAAAATGATTATCTATATTCACCAGAGCTATTTCGCACTATTCTACTCAAATTAAGCGAATACACGAGAGCTCGTTTTAGACTTTGCCTCAACCTATATATGTGAGCAACAAAACGTAGCAAAATTAGACTTGCTATCGCAGTTTTTGCTAGTGGAAGCCGATAAGCAACTACGGTACAATTTCGTACAGGACAGTACCATTAAGCCACAAAATTCAACGTACCCTTCTAAGTACAATAATAACATAAAAAAGGAGACAGTACACGTAATGACCCCTAGCAATAAAGTATCAGAGTGTACATACTGCAAACAAGGTAGTCACAGTATAAAATCCTGTAAAATATTTTTATCTCTCACAGTAAATGATAGATGGCGTTGGGTTCGAGACGCGAAGGTATGCTACCGCTGTCTTAAATCAAATCCACATAAATGGACTAATTGTCGTAGTAAACGTTGTGGTGTTGACGGATGTACAAGACGCCATAATTCGCTTCTTCACGGTACCACGCCTAATGAGTCTGGAACTAACTTAGCGACCAACACCCAACACACCCAAATACTGACTGATAATTCAGATGGCCCAAGCAACATAGCTGATAAGACATATAAAAATGAACCGATTAAAATCACAAATACGTCTGACATTTTAATCAATGCAGCAGGTTCTTCTTCACGTCCACGCGGCCTCCTGAAAGTACTACCGGTTATCCTCGAGGGCCCCGACGGCGAATATGAAACCACGGCGCTACTCGATGAAGGTAGTACGGCGACACTAATTGACGACAAGGTAGCGATGCGTATCGGCGCCAAGCCCACCCGTCAAGAGCGTCTTCGTATTGAAGGTGTTAGCGGCATGTCAAAAGATGTAGATGTTGGTTACGTGAACTTCTACATACGTGGGCGTAACTTACCTGACCGCTACTTAGTGGAGCATGCACGCGCAATTAGCCCATTAAGTCTGCGCGTCCGGAAAGAAAACATCGTCAACTTTATGAAGTACCAGCACTTATCAGACCTATCTAATGAACTTTCCTACACTGATACCAACCCAACTGTTCTTATTGGAGCACCCGACTGGTACCTATCTGTAAGCCGCGAGGTAAGATGTGGAAAGAAGAATGAACCTGTTGCCTCTAAAACACTATTGGGCTGGGTGCTCCACGGCGCACTGTCGGTTTCATCTCAGCCGATAGAATTTGTCAACCATATCTGTGACCATCTAGACTCTCTTATAAGAAAGCAGTACGAAATTGATTCCTTAGGTATAATGAAAAGCGTCTCACGTTTCAACAGTGATGATAAACGAGCGATAGATATCATCGAAACCTCGGCTCGTCAACTTGACGACAACCATTACGAAGTCGGTTTACCTTGGAAAAAAGACTTACCAACTATCATACCTGATAGCTACCCACAGGCATTATCTCGCTTCAGAGCTTTGGAACGACAAATGTCTAAAGACCAATCATTTGCCGCAGCTTACCATGACTTCATAAATGGCATTGTTACTAAAGGGTACGTCGAAGAATGCGACCCAAATACGTATTATAAACGAATGCCATCGAACGTTTCATGTGTTAACCCGGACGATACTATTCGTTGGTACCTGCCCACCTTCGGAGTATTTCACCCCCAAAAAAAGAAGCTACGAGTGGTGCATGATGCGGCAGCAAAGACAAAAGGTGTAAGCCTCAACAGCCTACTCCTACAGGGACCCGATTTATTAGGTTCTCTATTAGACATTTTATTTCGTTTCAGAGAGGGCGCTGTGGCCCTAAATGCCGACATTAAAGAAATGTTCCCTCAAATAAAAATCGCTAAAAAAGACAGAGACGCCCAACGCTTCTTGTGGCGTAACAAAAACGGTATTCTCGTTGAGTACCGCATGAAAGCTATGATATTCGGCGCAGTGTGTAGCCCATTCATTGCACTTTACATTAAGAATAAAAATGCAAAGATAGCGGAAGCTAGATATCCTGCAGCATGCAAAGCTATAGTTGAAGATCACTATATGGACGATTACCTGGGTAGCCACCCTAATGTCACTGATGCCGCGCAGTTGGCATCTGACATAATTATGGTGCATAAAGCATGCGGTTTCGAAATGCGAGCATGGACTTCGAATAATTCACAAGCTCTCTCTCTTGTCCCCAAAGAACTCAGAAGTGAAGCAACCTCAGACGTATACTTACCAGCAAACAATGATGTTGGTATTCTAGGCGTTAAATGGAATCCATTCCACGACTCGTTCAGCTTTCGTACAGGACTTCATATGCCTGATATTTTAACTAAACGTAGCCTACTATCCAGCGTTATGAAAGTTTATGACCCACTTGGCCTACTAACGCCTATTATAATTTCGGGCCGTATTTTGTTCCAGAAGTTATGGCGAGAAGGCATCGACTGGGATACCCCAGTACCTAATAAATATGTTTCTGAATGTACAGAATGGTTCACTCAATTACAGAGTGCCGCTAGCATCAAAATTCCGCGTTGGTATATGTTTAAATCGGATCCAATGGATATTCAGCTACACATAGTGGCTGATGGTGGTGAACAAGCATACGCCTGCGTAGCTTACTGGCGTTTCAATTACAATGATGGCTTCGTCTCTACGGCTCTTATAGGTAGCAAAGCTCGAGTTGCACCATTGAAACCGCTCTCTATTCCCCGCCTGGAGCTACAAGCGGCGCTTATTGCTTCTCGATTCGCACAAACTATTTTACGCGCTCACCGACTTAAACCCTCCGCAACTATTTATTGGACAGACTCTACCACCGTTCTTAAATGGATCCGAAGCGACGCTCGCACATTTAAACCTTTCGTTGCTCACAGGTTGGGAGAGATACTGGAAACCACCAATCCGTCCAATTGGAGATGGATTCCTACCTCTCTCAACGTAGCCGATGATGCTACTAAACCAAAGAAAATATTTTTGTCTACTTCTCATAGGTGGTTTACTGGCCCACCATTTCTTTTAGAATCACCATTCTCTTGGCCGTGTGAAATTACCAGAGACGAGGATGAGACCTTACCAGATTCCGAATTAAAATCAGAACTTGTAGGGCTGCTCTCCTATGTCCCACTACCTGACCTTCCCGTACCTAACGCTACGCGATTCAGCTCGTGGCTACGTTTACTACGCACCACTGCCCGTGTTCTCCAAGGCGCACGACTTTTTCGGCTTAAAGTGTCTCGACCAATAATTTTAAATTCTAAATTATTTTTAGATGGCAGCATCACATCGCCCTCCCAGCTACATGCAAGAGACATCATACAAGCCGAAAAGATGTTATTTCAGGGAGCTCAAAAGGATAGCTTCCCTGAGGAGCTGAGAGCCATACAAACTATGCAGCCCGTGCCCAGTAATAGCCGTATTGCAACACTCGCACCAGTACTCGACGGAGATGGCTTACTTCGCGTGGATACCCGTACCAAGTCTGCTCCAGGAGTAAGCGAGAACGCAAGATCACCAATCATCCTGGACGGTCGCAATTACAGCGTACGACTCTTAATATTACATCAGCATATTCAATCAGCACACTCATTCAATGAGCTCATCTTAAATGAATTAAGGCAGAAGTTTTGGATTCTAAGGGCAAGAAGCACTATCCGAAGCGTAGTAAATACCTGTCTGCAGTGCCGAAGATGGAAAGGCAAAACAATCAACCCAAAAACCGGCGACTTACCATCACACCGGTTAGATCACCATAAAAGGCCCTTTACACATGTCGGCCTCGATTACTTCGGCCCGATAATCATAACTATACATCGACGCCACGAGAAACGGTACGTTGCTCTTTACACATGCCTAATGACGAGAGCAGTACATCTAGAAATGGTCACCTCGCTTTCATCTGATGCGGCCATTATGAGCCTGAGACGTTTCATAGCTCGCCGAGGATCTCCATCTACCATACATTCGGACAATGGTACCAACTTTGTCGGCGCCTCCCGTGAGCTACGAGCATTATACAACGACTCAGTAGAAGAATTTGCGACAACTCACAAAATCGAGTGGCACTTCATCCCACCAGCATCTCCGTTTATGGGCGGGGCCTGGGAGAGGCTGATACGTACTGTCAAAACCGCCCTGAGAGCCTGTCTAAACGGTAAAATATTAAAGGAAGAAACCTTAACAACACTCTTACTCGAAGCAGAAGCCATCGTTAATGCGAGACCGCTCACGTACGTCCCATCATCACCACACGCACCAGAAGCACTAACGCCATTCCATTTCATACTGGGTACTTCATCAACAGAACCATGGACATGCTCGTTAACAGATGCCGACTTGGTACGAAGATGTGACTGGAAAAGAGTGCTGCGTCTTGCCGACCATTTCTGGGCACGATGGCTGCGTGAATATTTACCCACGCTCCAACGAAGAGGATCGAACAAAGAGGCGTTAAAAGTATGTGAGGGTGATGTGGTGCTTATCGCGGACTCTACTCTCCCTCGTGGCCTCTGGCCCCTAGGGAGAATAGTAAAAGTTTACCCAGGCCAGGACGGAGTGGTCCGCGTAGCGGACGTCTTCACCAAAGGCGGTACGTTGCGCAGACCAGTCCGCAAACTAATTTTATTAGAGACTGAGCCTCGACCGGCCGCCACCAGTTGTTAGTGTTCCACTGGGGATCCGGTATATTGGCGACCGGCCGATGCAAACTCTTTAGACGTTATTGTACTTTTTTATATACATTTACTTTTAGAATATTCTTATTATTTGTAATTTTATATTTTTTTGATATATTGATTTATTGTTCCTTGCTCGCTGTTCAATACATATATTTCGCTAATAAATTCCGTGTCTACATCATTTCATCACCTCATCACAGTCCACCGCTCCGTAATACGAGTATTTTTTTTATACCGAGGTGGCAAACGAGCATACGGCCCACCTAATGGTAAGCGGTTATCGCGTAGCCTATGAACACCTGCAATACTAGAGGCATTACGCGCGCGTTGCCGACCCTGAAGAAACCTCTTTACCCTTTTTTCAAGAACCCCAGGCTGTAGGCAAACTACATTGGATGGAACATTTGGTCAAGAGAGAAGGGAACAAGGCCGTATCAGAATGGTGACCAGCAGAAAAGCAGAGAAAAGTTGCTAGATCTATCAATTCTATGGTCGGATAACATAGTGTGGATAGCGGGGCAACGGTAGATGGGGTTAGAACTGTAAAAAGTGGCGCGATGAAAAGCAGACCTATGCCCTGCAGTGGGCGGACGAACACTAATTGCGTAGATAATGGAATGGATCAGAGCAAATTTTTAGAGCATGCATTTAGTGTTGATCAGATAGATTGAATATCAGATAAGTCGATGGTAAGTAGGTTTGGATGGCATGGTGGCAGCAGGTGCAGCCGGTGGGCGGAGACCTGAGGTGGATGGCCTTGTTGGCGAGCAGGCGGTTGGCGTCGCCGGGGTCGGCCAGCGGCAGCGGCAGCGGCGGCGCGTCGGGCTCGGCCTCGTGGAAGGCGTGCGCGGCCAGCCGCGGCTCCACGCGCGCCTCGCCGTACGGGCCGCGCAGCCACACCCACTGCACGCTCACCGCCACCGACGGCTTGCTCTTCAGGATCACCTGCGCACGCGCACCGCCCGCTTCAATCGCGCAAACACGACGCGTCCTTCTATAGCACCACTATTCAGGAGCGAAACAGTCTAACAGCCTCGTTGCAAGAGGGGGAGGAATTGTTAGTAATGTACACATCAGTCACATTGCTAGCCCATCAGGTACCTACCCTATCAGGTCGACCTCCACGTGGTCCCCCTGGAAATCATCGTGCTGGATTCCAGGTGTATTCATCACGATGGGCTGACTGACCAACCTTTTCATTCTCACCTATCATCCCTCACTGGTGCCTCGCCAGCGTATACCGTTAACGCAGGCGGGGCTACCATTCCATTATCATCCATTGAAAAAAAAACAGTCTTGTTGCTAGCAATGTACCCTAACAGGTCCACCTCCACGCGATTCTCGCTGGAAACGTGGTTAATTCTTGTGAAATTCATCACGATAGGCCGACTGACCTGCTTTTATTTTCAACTGTCATCCCTCGCTGGTGTTCCGCCAGCGTATACAGCGTATACAGCGTATGCAGGAGGGGATACCATTGAACCGCCATTAATTCGTACTCCCATAAAACCACCTCAGTTGTTTTTGTTAAGTGTTAGTCTGAGGTGGGAGAAACATCATCATCTCAAAGCAAAATATCGGAGGGAAAGGGATTGTTAGTAATGGAGACTGAGAATCCCATTGCTAGCAATATACCCAATCAGGTCGACCTCTTTGTGGCTCCCCCTGGAAACTATCATAGTTGATTCCTGATGAATCCATCCTGATGGGCTAACTGGCCTGTTTTCATTCTCATCTATCACCCTTCACTGGTGCTCCGCCAGCGTATCCTGTTGGCACGGGCGGGGTTATCATTCCATTTTCATCCACCAAAAAAAAAAGCAAAATATCGCTCGGCGGTTCATATATCAAAACACTCATATATTAGGGCATTCGTATATCGAGGTACCACTGTACATCGATGTGGCTGGCGCCTACAGTGGGCACAGCTCGCTCACCTGGTACGTGATCTCACGCTCCGTGCTCTGCGTGGGGTCGCGCTGGTTCTTGTTCACGAACGCCTTCACCACCCACTGCAGGTTGAACGCGTTGAACCTTGATGTCTCGTAGTACAGCTTGTGCACGAACTCCTCCGTGCGGTACGGCTTCAGCTGCAGGTCTGGACGGCACGTTCAGCAATACATACATATAATCATTATCATTTAATCACCATAAAGGGGGGTTTTGCCAGTTGTTTCCATACTTAGCAGGCGGGTTGACGACCGCAATTAGGCTTTGGTGACGTTTTCAGAGGAACGCTGCTGTACCTCGACCATTGTTTCCTTAATCGTCTCATACGACACCTAGGGGAAAAGAAGAGGTAGCCCATTCTATACAGCGAGCACACGACAATGGAGTCCGTGTAGCCAGTCTGAATAAAGAAGGTGAAATAATACAGCCCTATAAACAAATGGCAAACAAATCGAGAAACACATTGTTGCTGCCATGTGCACGAGATACAACGAGATAACGACTTCCGGCGTGCATTTCGTACAATCAACGAAAACGTACCGACAAATTCATTTGCACTCGTATAGGTCTTCAGTAGTCCAAAAAAAATATATTTTCCGAAATTTCGTAACTGAACAAAACAAAGATTTTGGCCTAATGCCCCTTAATCTTGAACACATAGGCACTGATAAAACAATTAGATGTTTCGATCTCACTTTGCAAATAATTAAATTTACTTATAGATTTTGCTAGGCGACAAACAAGAACAGTAAGTTGAAAGGTGAGGTAGGTACGGCGTAGGTACCGTTGATGGTGATCTGTTCGCAGGAGAGCAGGTCGAGCAGCTGGCGGTGCACGGCGAGCGCGGCGGCGGCGCGGCGCTCGTGCTCGGCCAGCAGCGGCACCACGTCGGCGGCCGAGCGGCGCGGCGCCGCGCACGCCGCCTCGTGCGCCGCCGCCTCGTGCGCCGGCCCGCGCCACCCGCACCCGATGCACGCGTACCGGCAGCCCGTCAGCCTGCCGCACACACGCACCGCAACACTGTACCCGACACCTTATTAAAACCTTTCATTTAACTGTAATTTATGAAAGAAAAAGAAAAAAATATATTGAAATACAATTTTGGAGTATTTTTTTAGTCTACCGCCCATTCGGAACGCATTTTTAGCCAAAAAGAACAGACTAGCAACTCGGCGATTGTTTTGTTTTTTAAAAAATTTCATTATGTAAATTATGAATGTGTGAATATAAATTATTAAACAGTATCACGATCTCAGCCGTTAACTGTCCACTGCTGACCATAGGCTTCCCCCATAAGGGAGGTTAGCATATAAGCAATATCATAATGACTTAAAATCATCCGGAACCGCCGTGAATACGTGATACAAGTTATTTAAGTCCAGGTAGCAAGAGATCTACGATATGCAAGGATAGACTTCGCATTTGGTTGTCTCTACCTGCCCCGCAAGGGACTTGGCGTGAAGCAAGATAGAACAGACCCGCAGTAAAGTTTGTTAGTTCGTTTAGACCAAACCTTGCAACCTGGACTAGAACCAGTTCCTTTTAATCGATTTTGATGAAACTGCATACACTTTTAGTTCTAGCCACAATAAATACGCAATGCTCAGTATTGTAACATTTTCATTTCGCCACAAGATGGCGGATGGTGCATATTCTATCAACCCTATCAACATAAGTACTCAATTGAAAGCTTGAAGAGTAGATTACGATAAAATAAATAACGTGAAAGCGTAACCCAGCCGCCGCTACAGATATACAATGGCGGTGTACCTGTAAGCTATGATAGGTGAGGATAAACGCAAGACCTATTGGCCCATTATGACGAATTCCTCAACAATTAACCACGGTGGCTTCCAAGTAAAGCATGAACATGGAGTTGACAAGTCATATTGCTAGCAACCTTAGGTCCCCTTAATAACAATCCCTTCTACGTTATATTGGATGCAAAGAATAACGCAGATTTCTTTTGCAAACCACGTAGACAAAATCAAAGAATCCTCACAACACTGGACGACAGCCTTGGTCGCAATTCGTGTCGTGCCAATCGGTACGCATACTTTGAAGTGCTCGAGCGACACACGATTAAAATAATGCAATTACTTGCTACTTCGCCATTGGCTATTAATTTTTAATTCATTTTTCTTATACCACTGAGGTGGAAAATAAGCATACGGCCCACCAGATGGTAAGCGGTTACCGTAGCCTATGAACGCCTGCAATACCAGAGGTATTACGCGCGCGTTGCCGACCCTGAAAAAACCTCTTTACCTCCCTTTTGAAGAACCCCACGCTGTAGTCTCTTGGAAAAACCTCAGCAGGGAGCTCATTCCATAACCCGAGTGTCAATGGTCTACTATAGTTTCAGATAGTTTAAAATAGCAACATTTTTATACCACTAAGGTGGCAATAAACATACGGACCACCGGAGCCCAAGAACGCCTGCAAAACCAGGAGCCTTACGCCCGTTGCCGACCCTAAAGAAACCTGTTTACCCTTTTTTGAAGAACCCCATACAAATATTTTAATAAATATTGAATAAAAGATATGCAGATTTGAAGCCAACATGCATCAACAGTGTGAGCAATTAAATACACGGATGAGTTCGGTTCACATCGCACCACGTGTTATCATTATGAAGCATTACTACGTAGTATTTGTTAGTAATGATGAGAAATATTAGCAAAATATGCAATTTAAAGTGCCAGGTATGTGCCACAAAGAATTTTACGCCATCTCATAATAACTGACTTTTAAAGAAACTTAAAAAAAGGAACCTACGACCATTTTGGTCGGTATGTTATGCTAAGTCCAGAACGAGTCTGTTATTTTTAATATAATCTCTTGTAGTTTGTCTCATAAGAATTTTCCCAAGATTGAGTTCGGTTCCTCAAGTCAAGGGCAATCGCGGAATCAGCTGATGTATATTAGAATCGTAGTTCAGACACATATTTGGCGAGCGAGCGTGTAAACGTAGAGGGCGGGACACATGTCTGGCGAGTGAGCGGAGCGATACGAGTAGCGGCACACACCTGCGGTACCTACGGCGCTTGGCCGGCGGCCGCGGCTCCTCGGACACGAGGTGGGACCTTCGCAACGCGCCCACCAGCAGCGCGTACACGCTCGACACAATGCGAACCAAACTATCCATGTATCGGGGCTTCGCGCCACAGTTCACTACGATTTGCGCGAACTTGTATTGCCTGGGGAAGAACAACTCGGCTCAATTTTACAAACTTCTTTTTTTATCATATTTGCACGACTTGTGACCACACCACCCTGAACGAACATAGGGACAAATATGCCCTATGAATGCGATCAACCGAAAACAGAATATTCTACTCTCAACGGTGGAAGGGATTGTTAGTAATGTGGACTGTCAGTCCCATTGCTAGCAATTATACCCTGTTAGATCGACCTCCAGGTGATCCCCCTGAAAACCATCGTACTGAATTCCAGGTGTATTCAATACAATGGGCTATCTGACCTGCCTTTTCATTCTTACCTATCATCCCTTACTAGTGCCTCGCCAGCGCAGCCGGGATCACCATTCTATTATCATTCATTAAAAAAAAAACTCTCAACGGTTGGCCAACTCATCTTGATAAATGATTGATCTTAGATATATATTACGGACGTCATCAGGATGGTATTATGAGCGAAGCAATAAATAAAAACGAGTACGATGTGAGCCAGTGAGCCTTGTAAGTCACGTCACTCGTCACCTTTTGCATTGCAGGTTAAATATCTATCTATATATACCTACCTAATACTAGGTCAATACTTACCTAATCACAACTCTACAGTTTGTACCGTTACATAGAGCAGGATTAGGTATGTAACTTCTTACTTGAGTCATTAATTGTAGAATCATTTATTACATAATCCGATTTCCACGTAACTGTGTTGTGTTAATAATAAATATTACAGCAAAGGGCATATTACACCGTGGCAAGATCAAACATTAAAACAAATTGTTGTACAAAGCTTTAACATTCCTTTTTCTCTAACTACCCCATAAAATATCACACAAAAAGTAATATCTTAAAATCATTTTAAATCTTTTGATAGTTTTCGGTAAAGAATATTCAGGGTCTAGCAATAGAATTATGAAGTGTGGTTAATTCGTGATGAATTCTCCACCATGGGTCACCAACTGACCTGACTTCACCTATCGTCCCTTACTGATGCTCCGCTAGAGTAAATCATAAGTTAAGGGATTCCGATTTTATCCATAAAAAAAAAGAAAGCACTTTACTGAACTAGGTTTATACCTAGTTCAGTAAAGTAGGATAATACTACGGAAGTCCATATCGCTGGTTATTCGATTGTAAATATTTTGTTTAAATCCGCTACCATTAGAATGAGTACGACTGTTAACGCTCGAAGACTGACTACTATACTTATTACCAAAATTTCTACAAGCTTCCATATTAGCCATCAATCTCCAACTGTCGTTTCGTTCGCTGCCAAAATCTTTCGACATCTTTACAGATTGATGCCGAACGATAACACTAGGCTTCAGGCAATATCTATTAATTTGCCCGAAGATGCCTCGTTTAGAAGGAAACACGTGTCGCAAAACGTACTTGGATTAAATGACAGTCGAAGATCGATGGCTAACATATAAGATTGTAGAACTTCTGGTAATAAAAATAGTAGTCAATCTCCGAGTGATGGTGGTCACACACATACTAATGGTAGCGAAATTAAACAAAATAATTATAATCCGGTTAAAAAAGAAAGTCTTATCACACAAGTACGTCTCAGCATTGTTATCTTAAATTTTAGATTTCCTTCAACAGACAAACAATATAAAAAAAACGCAGCTCGCTCGATAAAAGCTGAAAAACAACGCTGCTGTACATTCTGTGATAACGTTGGGCGAAAAATACCTCCATGGCCAAGAACCACGCGTAATACCGCGGAATGCTGCGCAATTGTATTACGGTAGGCGTTTTCCGCCTTGAACTGAGTTCGAGGCCGTTTCGGACAATGCGTAACCTTCAGACATTGGGAGATGAAGAAATATTTCGTTTCCGAAAACAATTTTCACCTTATTTCTAATGGCCAAAGAGCCAATTCACTATCGCGCCGTATCTTCCACATCATGACTGCACCCAACATGGAAGCGAATTAGAAATGTTTTGGTTTTTAAATTACTACAATAAATATAAGACAAGCAGCGTGCTAGTAGTTGTAAAATTATACTATTAATAAAAATTACCGCTCTTCACATGCACTATCTTCATGGTGCTGCAGTGAGTGTCTGGGGAAAACTCGAGTGCAATACTTGCACTCAGAGGGCAGTTCAGATACAGTTTTCTCAACTGCCAAGTTTCTGGAGGCAGAGGTCTTGGATATCTCGACGCGACAGTTGGGGCACGTGGCGGACTCGTCGCGCAGCCGGGCATCCGCGAGCAAGTGTGTAAAGCACGGGGCACACATGAGGTGCCCATTGCTACACTGAAATTTGATATAACATTCAGTAACATACAGTTTCTATTTGTAAACAACATGGGCGTAGCTAGGAAGTTTAACGAATAACATATAAAGAAATCAAAAGCCCCTGACCAAAGTTTGCTGATCTAGTCGATGCCTGCTTTCTAGAACATATTCATAGCTATGCCAATGTCATATCATACATTTTTAAATCACAACAACTTTTTATCAAATATGACACAATTTTCAAAAGTAAATCAACCCATGTAATTATAAAATTTTAATACACAGATTGAATTACTATTAATATTAATGTAAACAAAAAGTGTATAATTGACAGTTGCAAATATATTTGATTTTTATGTCAAAAGTATGTTATAGTAATGCACTCATTCATTATACTGTTAGTGTGTGTATGTATGTGTGTGTGTGTGTGTACTACATGTATGAGAGTTGTGTATTGTATGTGATAGTTCCTTTACTATATTCTACCTCTCATTGTGATTGCATGTTGCCCCTGTAAACAAACTAATTACACAATATATATTGCTGTAACAGAAAACAAACCAAATTTAATTTTACGTGAAATCAGTAACAGCATAAAAATTCCTTTTTTTTATAGTAAGTTACTTACAGATTACATATTAAAATAAAAATATTACTTTTTAAATAATGTTCAAATAGGTCCCATATGCAAGTAGTATTAATTTGAAAAATTGATGAATTGATATTAAAGAAATTGTAAAAATTAACAGATTAATTAAATGTTCAGTAAATAATAAGTGACTTAAGCAAGTTTAAATTTATCTATATTTAATTATATATGAACAAGAATATTTCAGACTGAAAACCTAATAGGTTATTATAATTCCAATAAATTATTTTAGGACCTGCAATATTAATTTTGTAGGATAAGGATTGTAATGGGAAGCACTGAATAAAGAAAGAACTACATCTCTCAAACATTTCTTTATTGAAGTGAAATGTTACAAGAGTCAATACAAGCTATTTACTTGCTATTAGATCATACACAATAGACCATACATAGATTAATAGGTACAAATAATCCTTAAATAAGTCTAGTTGTATCACAATTTAACAAATACAGGAAAAACATACAAATACTTAAAGTCACTATAGGTACCCTCATACATTATCATAGAACATAAAAAATTATATAAAAACACCTATCGGCCGCCATAACAAAAGCACAATTTTACAAACATCACAACGCGATACCTTATTAGTAATATTGTATCGATATTGGTAAAGTGCGTCGTGTAATTGATATTCACGACTCACTTTATTCGCGCGCAAATTGCGAATTTTAACTTATTTTGTTGTTTAATATAAGAAAATAAATGCTAAAACAGCTGATCCGCGGATTAGCAATCAGCTGTTTTGAAATACCTGATACACGGCTGCCTGGGGCAAGTCCAAGCAAACTGCGCAGCACAGAATGCCCCCGAGCCTGTGTTCGAGCTTGTCGGACTCTTTCTCAGAGATTCTGCGTTTTTTGGGCATTGGCTCATCGTCTTGTGGTGGATTACAAATAATTACACTTTCACTAGACGACGGCACTGGTTCACTATTATCTGGTGCTTCGGCCATTGTGAATAAAACGATTAATTAAAATGTATAATATTTATCAAAACACGCGAAAAAAACAGACTACACCTATACAATTGAACAGAACAAAATATCACAAACAAACCCGCATCGACAAACAAAAGAAACGACGAAAAAGACCTCCCCTCCTATTCCTATACAATTTAACTAATTTGGATTCTAGCTCTTTCTGTTACTTTATTGACTGAAAATTTTTACTTAGAATTTATAGTGTTCTATTATATAAAACTTAACACATTTTAAATATATTTTTAGTTACAAAATTTCATAATTAATGTAAGATATTGAAAATTTATAAAATCTGACTTAAAGGCGAAATTTAAATTAGCAATATTACGCCTAATGGCACGATTGGCTTTCTAGGTAGATAGATATCTATATGACAAACAGAACAATTCGATTAACAAAAAATACTTGATAGTTGGTATCAATCATCGTTTTTATATATATACCAATAAAAGAACGAATATTCTGCCTCTGCAGAGCGATTTAAGAACTAAAGTTATTATTTTGTAAAGTATAATAATATACATATATACATACATATATATATTTTTTGCCGCTAGATCGCTAATGACACGATTTGCTAAAGAAAAATTCATTTAATTCTCCTTATAACATAGTGATTACTTGCTCTGTAACCCACCTATGAATTGGAAATATATTTAGCTTGTATATAATACCAGTTTTTACAATAGCGATTATTTAGGAAGCTTTCTTACGCCCTTTCTCTCTCGCCCATATTAATTTTATATATAAATAAGTATGTAGACAGATAAAAACCTTACTTTTTAGTAGTTTATTTTGTTATATAATTAAGGAAAATTTTTATTATCATTTAAAAAACAGTCCAGTCTTAAATATACTTTAATATTATTTAATAAGTTGTTTAATTTAATTTTATTCAGGTCATATTTTTGGTTTCTTTGGCAGTGAACCAAATGCTGAAATAATGGTACCCTTGGTTCCTGTTACATTGCTAGTGAGAGGCTGCTGTACAAGCCCTGGCTGCTTTATGTTTGGTTTGGTGCCCACATTGGGAGCTGCCTGGTCCCACTTTGATTTCCTCTTTTTCTCATCATCACTTTCAGGTTTCTTTGCAACTCCTGTTATAAAATCAATCTTCGCTAACTTTTCCTTTTTTTCTTTTTCCCGTCGGTCCATTTCAACCTTCTGAACTCGAGCCAATTCATCATAATATGATTCTTTTCCCCATTTTAAAGGATCGTAAATTTCAGGTGGATAATTTGTATCTAATTCATTTATATCACAGTATTGTATCAGTTTCTCATAAATACTAGGATTTCTAAAGTTTTTCTTGTCCTGTATAATTCTATTCATATCTAAGCCTTCATTCAACATTCTACTATAGTACTTTGCTATTGTGTCTTGTAATTCCTTAGGGCACTTCCCTGGAGGTTCAGGCGGTATAGTCAGGCCATCTTGTGAATCATCTGGATCAGATCGGGGCACAGCTTCGTCTGTGTCTGTTTCCATGGACAGGCGGCGCATGTCGTCCTGATTGTCGGCTGCAGGGGACATGGGCTCTTCATCCGACACAATAGTGTCATCCACATATGATACTAACCTCCTTTTCGGCGATACTGGAGCTGATGCTGATTTATTGTTTTCGTCGGGTTTTTTTGGACTGGCAGGTGCAGAGTGTACAACTTTAGGCTCCTCTTTCTCTGGTGTTTGCTCATCTTCTATTATATCTTCCTCACCTTCTGAATCCGTATAAGTTGCTGTGAGCGACGCTAGCGCTTCTGAAGTCATGGTTTTCGGAATTTATTGTGCAAATTTCAAATTCACAGATCTAAATACAGCCTGCTTGTTAGTTTTCACTTTTAGTTGTAACTTGTTTAAAAAAGAAAATATATTTAATTCTATGTACATTTAATGAAATATACTTCTGTTACTATTATAGATGAATAACGGACACAGATTAAAAGGACTGTCTCTGTCTAATGTCGACACAGATTCGAGCAGAGTTGCCAGATGCAATTTTGATTTTTATTTCATTATTAAATTGTAATCAATCATAGGAGAGAAAGGATTTGTAGTATAAGGGATTAACGGCCCCATTACTTACAATGTCAGGCCGACCTCCACGCAGTTTCCCCTGGAAACCATTGCGATTAATTCTTAATTTATTCATTACAATAGACCAATTGATTTATTTTTTCGATAGCGCAGACGGGGTCATCATTATCATCTAATAAAAAAATCTTCTATCATATATTTTATTATAATTATGTACCTTATATATCTATAGTACTAAAATATTAGCCTAAATTTCCAAAAAGTTACACAAATTTCTCCAACCCTATTTATCTTTTCTCTAAGAATTTAATTTCTCCAAATTATCACGATCTTGGCCTTGGTTTGTGAATTTGTGGACTGGTCATTCTATATTACTGTCAGTGTCAAATTTGATTGTGACTTATTAAGAGAAAGAAATTATATGTATGAGTAAATTTTGTTGAATCCTGTATTATGGGGGTGTTGAAATTGGAATTGACAATAATAGTAAAAATTGATCTGTGTTCTATTTAAATTTTATAATTTGTGCTGTGACATGAAGAGCTAAAAGGGAACCTTACAATTATATTATTGCCGTACGCTATACTCTATAGTGCCAGCTATGGCGACACAGCCCAGTGATTACACAGAATTTCCACCCGAAATTATCTTGAAGCCATTGGCACTGATCGGCCTTTCTGGACTAGACGCTGTTAACAATGCCGTACATAAGGAAATATGGGATGCGTTCTCTAATAACAGGCGGCCTGACCGCGCATCAGTTCGTTTCAAACTACTCAATAATACCTTTGAATTCCCAGTAGTAAAGCCTAAAAGAAACTCATACGAATGGTACATACCTAAAGGCATTCTAAAGAAGAACTGGATTCAGAAGCGCGTGGCTCTAATTCCCGCCGTAATCGTCATATTTTACGATATGGAATGGAACGATCCTCAGTGGAATGAAAAAATAATCGAATGTGCGTCTAAGGTTCAGTCAATTCGGGCGGCAGTCGAGGGGCACGCGACGCGCGTCGCCGTTGTCGTACTACAAAATGGTCAGTCCCCACCACCATCTGAGTACATGCTTGGAGCGGAGAGAGCTCAAGCTTTGTGTGCTGCCTGTGAAATACAATCAAAATCACTATTTGTCCTTCCTCATAGTGATCATCTGATGGGTTACATAATACGTTTAGAGAATGCTTTTTATGATATCGCTCAGAATTATTATCATCATGAAACCAAAAATATAAAACAACATAGAGACCACTTGAATAAAACTACTCACCAGTACCTGTTTGTGCGACACCAGTTTAAGTTGGGTTACCTGAATGAGTTGAAACAAGACCTGAGTACTGCCCACAAGCACTACATGCATGCATATACAAATTTACTAGAGACCAGGATTGTTGACACCAACATGCATGAGGTGAGAACTGTTGCTGGATATATTAACTATAAACTATGCAAATTATTATTTGCTTTAAATTTGCCAAGGGATGCAATAGCGCAACTTAAGTCACATATTGAAAGGTACAGGAGTAGAGTTGGATCAACAGAGTTGCTATTTGAACATTATGCATGGATAGCACGACAATATAGTGCCTTTGGTGAGTTATTCGATGAAGCAATCAGAGCTGGGCTTCCAGCCATACAGTCTCAGCATCCTGGGTTTTACTACCAACATGCAGCTCAGTTTACAGTAAAAAGAAGACAAGCAATGAGATCAGTTTGCAGTGAAGCATTACAATATCCCCCATCTCCAGATCCATTAGAGGGAATTGTTGAATTCTATGGACAGCGGCCGTGGCGGCCTGGTCGGCTCAGTGCTGACCCTCATGACCCTCAAAAGGAACAGGCTGCTGTTCTGGCACTGCAGTATAATGAGAGAATGTTTAATCACTCTTTAATGATTATCGGTTTTCTAGGCTGTGCAATTTCACAATTTAAAACTTTCCACTCCCCTCGAATGAGAAAACAACTCGTGGTTGAGATGGCTAATGAATATTTCTACTCTGCTGATTATGGCAAGGCTCTCACATTACTGACACATATGCTTTGGGATTACCGGAAAGAGAAATGGTGGTTCCTAGCATCACATGTACTTAACAGAGCTCTGCAATGTGCATATTTATCAGCAAAAATACAAGACTATATACAGCTCTCAGTGGAAGCCTTATCAAACTACATACAGGTGCCAAATAAAGACAAGGACAGAATATACAGAAATATAATATCAGTTCTTAATTTGAATATTCCTGCCCCAGAACCAGATCTGCCAGTCTCTTCACATAGCAGAGCGCTAGAGGCTTGGCAAGTGGCTATTGAGAAAGAGCCTTTCACTATTGCTGTTGACATGTCCAATATTTCCAGCTTTCTGGAAGTAAAGCCAAAATTCAGACAGCAAAAATATAGAATGGATCAGTTAGTTGAAGTAGAGATCTATGTTAGATTAATTTATGAGACAGTCCTGGAATCAGTACAAGCATATATTACAGTTTCAAGTCCTACTGAGACAATTGAAATTCCAATAACAGAAGATGGAAATAATTTAATTTCTTTAGTAGGAAAAAAGGTGAAGAGGTTCTTGTGCCAGTTCAAACCAAACCCAAAGGACAACAATTCAGATTTGCATATTAAAAATGTTTCTTTTGTCCTTGATTCTGATAAAAAAAGAAAAATAATAATGAATTTTAAAATAGGAGAAAACAAATCAGACTCTGCAATCCATCCAGAGTTGTTACATTTTATTTTAAGTCCCAAGACAGATTATGAATTTGACTGTATTGTACCTTTACCAGTAACAACTATAACATCGAGAGAATGCAAATTGTCCATAGCTATATCTAATGCATGTCCAGCTCTTCAAGGTGAATGGTTTCCAACAACCTTTACAATCACAAATAATGAAACTAGTCCCTTATATGATGTCAAGATCGCACTTTCTTTGTTGAGCTCACCTGACAATCCAAATCCAGAGTCAGTGACGGAACTGAGTTTAAAAGAAGGGCAACCACAAGCACAACCAATTAAAATAGTAGTAGGAAATCTTGGCCACTTATCTACTCATGCATGCACTTTTTATTTAAAAACAAATAGAACTGTGACCACAACAGTCCAAATGAAAGTTTCATATTATATAGACCTCCCTGAAATATCAAAATTAGAATGTGTGAAGGATTTCACTACAAAAATAACAGTTATAAAGCCCTTTGAGGTCAGCACTAATTTTGTTGCTATGAATTTCAAACCAATTACCAAATGTTTTGTAGAGGATCCCTTTATTGTGACACCACAAATAAAAATTTTAAGTCCTTGGGATTTACTAATATTGAATACAGAATTAGAATTAGTGGATTGTTTTAAACACCTTGATGATGACAAAGAAACATCTTGCATTAACAATTTAGTAGTGGCTGAAAAAAATGTAGCTTCAGATGCAATGTGCATACAAGCAAAGTACAAACCAAAAGATAATCCAACAAGAGTGGGCCTATATAATATTACTTGGAAACGGAGAAGTAACACTGATGGCCATTGTGTCATGAGTAGCACAGCCCTATCAGGGGTGCCCATTGATGTCTGCCCAATAGCAATCAAAGTCAATTACCCAGAAGTAGTAGAACTGCAAACTTCAGTATCTCTCAAGTGCACTTTGTTTGGCCAATCCAATACTCCAATTAGACTAAGTCTTACTGTGGAGGGAACTGATGCATACATGTTCTCTGGTTATAAGAAACTGTCAGTGACAATACCTCCTAAGGATAAACTGGAGTTGTGTTACAACATTCACCCCCTGGTGGTAGGAAACACCACTCCCCCAAGATTAAAAGCCACCGTGATAGGGGACAGCTCAATACAAGAAGTAGTCAAAGAGATGTTTGACAAAATCTTTCCACAGAATATATTTGTTATGCCTAAGTACAATAAATAATAATGGTATTGTGTTGCTTCTGTTTTATTACATTGCAAACTGTAAATAATTCTGAACAAAGTGTATAAGTTGTATTATGGTTACCTTGTAATTCTTAAATTAAATAAATCAGTTATTTGTTAATAACTTTGTAATTACTCATTTACCAAGTATAAATATAGCTAGTGAAATAAAAGATACCCATGTGATAATAAGAAATTTATTAGTAATGGATTACACTAATCTTTACGAAGCTCAAACTTCTCTTCTTGAATGCCATTTGCTGTGATAATCAATATGTAAATGCTGTCGCCAGTATAAATGTCACGTTCAGCAGCACTGATGAATACATCCTTCAGCAAGGCTAGTGCCTTCTCTCTAGGTATTGGGGCCACTGTAACATTCTGCATATTCTTCAGACCTATCTGATTATCCAGCAGTGGCTGCAGCTGAGCACCGGCAGAGCCTCCAGCCCGGTAGTTGGAGCGCTCACAGTGGCCAATAGGGTCGTAACTGTAAACGCATCCCTTACCCTCCGCATCCAATCCTGCCAGTATATTAGACACGTAATATGGGAAAAAACGTTTATAATACAACATGGTTGAGAGCATTTGTGCGACTGCAGGAGTTGACATTGATTTGTTATGTTCATGTTCGTACATTTGCATGCGGGCTTGAAGCAGACGGGTGAGGGTAAGAGTGTCACACCAGCATCCGGTCGCTCCTAGTACTGTGCCTTCTGACAACTTGAACAACTTCTTTTGTTCTCTTGTGTAGATGGAGAAGCCTGTGCTGAGACGAGTATCGGCTCCGATGACGGCGTAATCGTCGCCGGCGATCGCTACTATGCTTCCTCCATTGTCAGCGTATGGCTCAAAACGAACCTGTTTTGCACCTGGTACGGCATACTCTGGGAAATTTTCACTAACGCTCAACATTTTAGTTACAACAGAGTTAAAATATGTTTGTTATAATCGACACTTTATTGTGAATAAGAAATGTATTGAGAATAACTCACGAATGACATGCACAATTTAGAATACCTTTTAAATTAATTTGACAAAAGTCATGCCATTTGACAAGCCAAAATGTGACATTATAACGTGAAATGTTACCATGTTACCAAATGATTTAAAAGCGCTAGTATTATATTTAATCTTCGCTGAGTGCCTTCATACACTTGTCCAAGGCATAACCATTGAATTGCCGTGTGTAGAATAGAGATAAAGCTGTTCTTTAAATATTTTGTCTTTCTTACAAGCTGAAATGCTCTTGCTATCATGGTGAAATAATTATTTTAAGGATCATATGAACTAAATTTAATAAACTAATAAGTGAAAATTATTATAAATGTAGTTTATATTTGTCCAATTGAAATTCTAATTTAAATTTATTATCATAGCGAAATCCTGACCTATTCAGAATCGACCTTACTATTCTTAATCTATGCATTCTATTTTCTCTAATCTGTGATCTCACCTCACTTCTATTTTAAGAAACAAAAATGAGAAAATTCAAATTTCTATTGTTTTTATTAAGTTTTTCTGTTTATTATATTAGTAGTGAAAAGCAGACAGGTCCAGATCCTTGGGATGATGATACTTATACAATACCTGTCGTGAATGATAATGTTCCTCCTGATTTAAGATATGAACCAAGAAAGAATATCCGTAAAGAAAATGTTCTTGGAATTAGTGATATATTTTTTAGAAGAATGCTCGCAATAATGCTGAAAAGTGGCCAGAGTAAGGTAAAGTTAGCGAGATATAAGAACTATTGTATTTTTATTTTAATATATAACTTTCCATGGTATGTATCGTTTACCACAAAAAAAGTCAGTTCAGTCTTAACAATGGGACTTATGGTCAGTGGCTACCTTTAGCGACGGTAATATAGATAGTTTCTATTTATTATTATCAACCCTATATCTTGATAATGTCTGAAAAGCATGGGGCATCTACCTCAATAGCCCTTCAAACATATTTGTCTTCCAAGTAATTCATTAATAATATTATTAGTATTATAATTTACTTCCAGGAAAATGAAGATGGCAGTATTGATATTGTTTTACAAATGAAATTTGATGCAGAGAGATGGGCCATTTTGGAGAATCTTCTGAAATCAGACTCAGCTATTACGGAGACAAGTCTGCGACGCTCCATGGGATACATAGAAGAGGCAGTATACAAATCCACTATATTAGACAAAATAAAAATGGCATGGAGTGATTACATTCAATATTATCTTGTAGAGTACAGGGTAATAACAATATAATATTAATATTTTATAATTTTAATAAATCAAGTTATTACATTTTACTATTTTATTGAGATAAATAGTATTATAGTAAATAATTTTTTGTTTCAGACATGTATCACATGGACTCTGGGGTTGTTAGGAGTGTCAATCACATTCTTATGGCTATGGAACCACATGTCTCACAGGCATGTGCTAATATTAATATTTGTTGCCCTGTACCTATATGAGGTGTTTGTATCATACAAGGTATAAACTAATTTCATAAAATTACATAAGTTGTTGTGATAATTAATACAGGTTTGTAACCTTCTAATATCTAGTGCTTGGTGACCCTTTATTGACATGCTTCTTGTCAAAGGGTTATTAGAGATCCATACAGTGATGTTCACTGGTCCCTTATGATGTTTCTCTTACACCTTGGCACCTCTGGGAGCCACTCGACTACTCTAGAAAAAAGTAAGAAAAAAATAGTATTGGGCAAAGCCAGTACTATCTTTTTTTCACTTGGATTTGGTGAATATAATATATATATATATATATATATATATATATATATATATATATATATATATATATATATATATACATACATACACAACTCTACCTACCAACTGTATCAAGTCATTAACATGCCACTGTTAGGCATATGTCACTCCCCATAAATATAAATTATTAAATTTACAAATTAATAATTACAAACACATGAAATTGTAATAATGGGATATTAATTTATTAAAAAAAAACTGTTGCAGGAAGCAGAACAACAAGAAGTGAAGCAATTTTTATCGGCTCTACAAAGCTGCAAATGGCAGTTCTGGAAGAGTGACTGTGAAATTCCACCGCCAGATATCGTTCTTTTCATGAAATACATGAATCCTTTAAAAATAGCATTAAGGATGTTCACTTCTATAATATCAGAACCAATGATTGCTCTCAGTGACACAGTAAAGACTATGGTTACCGGAATTACTGGTAAGACCCTTAAGAGATATTAGGACTAGGATTTATTTTATTTAAAATATTTAAGTGTTGTGCATTAAAATGTTGTATGTATTGTTTGTTTATTGTCTATAGGTGATGATTTCATCAGGCGGGCTGGCAACTTTTTTTCTTTTCCTAGAAATATAACTTTAAAATTGCAGAATACTTTAGAATACTATTAGAATAAAATATATTTGTGAAACTGAAAAACATTTCACAAATGACTTAGTTAAAATAACCTATTATACAAGCTATGCCATTTTGTCATTGCTTTAATAACAGAATTATAAGGATTAAGAAGTGTTGAAAAAATATTTTATTCTGTTTATTTATATTTTTTTTATACAACTTAGAATATCAGAATAACTGTTGCCTATAGACATGCATGGCACCATGTACAAAACAGAGTATACTGTTTCGCCCATGATACCTCCCATGCATTACCATTCTTGGACTATATATGTTATGCCTGGCAAAATTATAAATGGGACAGAGGTACCTAAGCAGATGACTTCTGTACAAAGTCTCCCTCTGGTTTGTTGAATATTGTAAAATGTTTATATTACTTTTCAGATGGCCTGTGGTTCCCGTTTGACAAAATAGTTTATGGTATTCTAATTCTGTCTTTTAACTCTTTACTGGTGGTGCTCCTCATAATGATACTCTTTAATTATATTCTCAACATTCCATTTAATTTAAGTTTCTGTGGTTTAATGAGTATTGGAGTAACACAACGTAATAGAACATTACTGACGCAAAGAAACAATGAATCCCGTGCAGAACAAATTGAAAGTGCTGACAGAATCAGTGGCGCCACGCTGGACAGGTTCCTCGACGTGGTTTCGCGTGCTCTAGGCAGTACTGGCGCTGCAATTGGTCAACAATCAAATGTTAATAGTGAAAACATTCCAAGAATATCATCCACTACTGTTGGAAAGTCTAAACTACATAGATCTGCCAGCACTGGACGATTGCCAAGTGCCTCATATGAAACAACCAATAGGATATGCTTAGAAAGTACAAAACAGTATAATAAAAACACTGGAAAGTTCAAAATTGGTCCCAAGGATGGCAGTGGAGATGCTTATTGTAATTAATCATGATACAATTAATTCAGACAATTTAATATTAAGGCACTGAGAAGCAGCAGCTAAGTAAATTAAGAATTTGTTTTTATTGTAAGCAACATTCATAATCATTGGCATAATCAAGATTATTTTCCAAGGGGGGCCTGATCTCTTAACACAGGTGCACTGTGTACTCTCAGACATTCTTTGCGCATAATTAAAAGATTCACTCAAGTCCTGAGAATTCTGGGGTGGACAAGGCCCATCTGCCCCCTGCTTCAATATGACTATGTTCATATTATCATGGTGTAAATTATCACTATATCTCACAAAAGTCCACGAGTTTGATTTTTACAAACATTTATTTATTGACTATGGTGATCGAAGACATCAATAATAATGTTAATGAAACCAGTTAATAAGATGGCACTTTTATAGTATCATTTGATATATTTAAAAAACATATAATATCTATATATAGTGAAACATTTTATATATTTTTAACAGGACCGTTTTAAGCATGTTTTACATAATGTGTAAAAATCTGGAAAAAGAAGCCGGTTGCGGTTAATAAAAAATATAAGAAATGAAACAGATTGTGCTGTGTGGAATGCATTCGTGACGGTTTTTTTTTATGAAAAATGGTGGCATGGTAGAGCTGTTTATACTATTGGTGTACAATGGCGCGACGCTAATTTAAAATGAAATAATAAGCATGAAGTCAGTGCACATCATCCATCGTAGCAAACTCGCCAGAAGTTAACCACCATGATTTCAGGATTTGAAGAAGGTCAACCTAACATGGTATATTACTAGCAATGGAGAGAGAAATACTCACCTCTCAGTCTCTACAATTCTACAAGACTGAACAACAATAGTTTCCAATGAATTTATTCTGTTTTTATGAAGTATAGGTATAAAATAATGATTTATCTTCCTCTGATGAAGCTGTAAAATATGTTAACATAAATGGTGATCGCTATTATATATGAATCTAGTCTGTGATGATTTTCCCAGTTTTAACTATTGATTAAGTATATTAATCTGAAAATAAATTTCATATTTTTATTATAAATTGTTTTAATTTAAATTTGTACTTATCGTCAAAAATTTTTAAACAAAAAAGTCTGGTACCTAAAATTTTAATTATACATTTCATTGTAATAACCTAATTTTTGGCGCATAAAATTACAAATAAACAATATTACACTGATCGTAGTATTTAGTAGTGAAGTATTTAATCACTTGGAAGTTGTTGAACAGTGTTTTAAATATTACGGTACCTTTTATCAGGATGTAGTGATACGCAAGCGAGTTGGTTAAACACCAGTTTATTCAGTGAATGAATAAATAGAACAAATTGTTACAGGCCAGTATTTACAAAATTATTAGTGGCCAGTATGTGAACATAATATACTACATAGGACAGTTGAATTTAAGAGCTATTTAAAAATCTTATAGTTTATTCTGCAACATAGTACAGTTCATATAATATTATTCATATTTTTTATAGTAAGTAAATATAATAAAATGATGGCCAACAAGTATACGGCCAGTCTGATGGTAAACAGAAGTACCGTATCCTATGAATGCTTATAACATTAGGGATGACACGCGTGTATTAACAACCCTTTAGAAACCTTAATATACGCGCTTTTTAAAGAACTACATATGCTTATAATAATATTAATTATTGCTGTTAGGTGCTTTATAATTTATTTTTTGTTACTATTTATTCGTTATCTTTGCTTTGCAAGATATGAATTAGGCAACATTGTTAATTTGTCATTGAGACAAACGAATGTCATTTGGCTGTCACTGTCAAACACGGACGGTATATCGGTCTCGGTGACGTGTATCATAAAAAAAAGCCGCATTAATTTTATTTATTCTTATTACAATTGCATACCTACGCTATATTTATTGACAAAATGACTTCATTAGTGTCAATTATCCCGAAATTGTACCAAGAATATACATCTAAAACTTCAAAGAAACTGAAAATCATCGACGCTTATCTTTTATATATATTTCTAACGGCAGTCATACAGTTCGTATATTGCTGTCTAGTCGGCACGTTTCCCTTCAATTCTTTCTTGAGTGGCTTCATATCCACCGTCAGCTCATTCGTTCTTGCTGGTGAGTACATAGTTATATTTTGCCTTTAGTTTTGTAAAGACTAGTCATTATAAATAGAGGCATCACACACTGGCCAACAGTGGGTTCTCATGATGCGTCGGATCTTCCATAATTACCAAATAAAAATTCAATACGGCGCTTTTGTTTACACATTAATTTTATTAATTCTTGCATCTAATCCAAATAATAATTAACAAAATATTGTTATAACTAGTGAATAAAAGTTATTTTTTAACTAACGGTACCCCCTGAACAATCATTTGTTTAAACATAATTTTGTAATTGTAAAGCATCCATAAATCAATGTTTAATATTTAATCTTTTATTTCAGTGTGTTTGAGATTACAAGTAAATCCAGAAAACAAGAATGAATTCCAAGGTCTGAGTGCTGAGAGAGGATTCGCCGACTTCATATTTGCACATCTTGTTTTGCACATTGTAGTCATCAATTTCATAGGTTAAGCAGCCAACAATATCGCAAATTCATATTTCTGTAATATATACATAATTAAATAATTTTTTAAATACACACTATAAATATAAAATAGTTCATTTGCTTTGTTGTCTGATCATTTAAAAATATCCTTTGAGGACTAGAAGTGGGGATTGATATAATAAAATATTTACAATTATTGTCAAATGTTATAAACAGTGAAAGTTGTTTATATCATAATTTTGAGGATCTGTGTTTTGATTTTGACTTCAAACTTGCCAGAAAAATACTCAGTTTTAGACTATAAAGGTTATGTCTGGATATCTCAATTCCACTCCTAGTCAGATGTTCTTGCATAGTTATTTTGGTTTGAAAACTATAATCCACATTTTTCAGGTAAATTACAGTCATAACGAGGTCCTTCCACAATGTGTTTCTATAGATATTTTCTTCTACATAAAATTAGACTATGTGACCAACTCCTAGCAGCAGTGTTTCTGAACCATATGACAATTTAGATCTTTAAGAGCATATTCCTTCCTTGTAATTACTCTAATACTGTGGGTGCCTTTGGGTGACAGTAATCCCTTATAATCAGGTGAGCTGCATGCTCATTTTTTATAAAAGAAAAACAAAACACTACTTCAGAATGACACTAGGCAATAGTGTTGGACTGAATTTTGTTAATGTTATAGGGACCAGGGATCGGCATACACTAATAAGTGGTATTAAGCTTATAATATGAATTATATACCACAGATAATATAATATTAGGTTATACTAAATATATAATCCCAGAGGGAGACTTTGTAGAAAAGTTGATTGCTTGGTTACCTCTGTCCCATTCGTGTTTTAATTGTGAAGCAGTTGTGTTTGCATGGTTGTGTATCGGTTTGAAGGGTGGGATATGGTGTGAATTTACTGGGTACAGAGGAATAACACCTGAGTCCTCAGTAATGGCAACGCATGGTGGGTATCATGGGCGAAACAGTATACTCTGTTGTCTATAGGCGACGGTTACCACTTTACATCAGGTGGGCAGTCAGCTTGTTTGCCATTCTAAGTTGTATAAAAAATAAATAGTTTTTGGTGACTTGCAACTGGGGAATTATTAGCAGTAAGAAAGAAACTATCAAATACATAATATATATACACATGTTCAAATATCAGTTGCTAAGGGGTGGGGGGTGGGGGGAGATTTAAACTGAAACAGCAAATCAATTTGTTATATTTTATTTGACTAGTTCTCAATTAATTTACAAATAATGTCTGTGTATCAACAATAATTCCTAAGTGTACGTTCCTGTGAATATGACAACTGTATTTGTTGCAAATATACCAAATAATAGATAAGTACAATTAATAGTTTAGCTATCACTAGGATTCGGTCGGATGTATGACGAGTCTCTTTTTCTATGAATTAAGATATAAATTAAGTACAAATATGTTGCACAAACATCAAGTCCACATGGTGACTGAGTATTGGTGAACTGGCTGGCAATAAGAACAGATGTTACACGCAACGTGATGTCAAATACTTCTAAGTTTGATAGGTTTTGAGGGTGTATTATTTAGAAATGAACAGCATTTCTTGTTTTCTCATATACCTACACATATAGCGTATACAAAGTGTAAGGGAAACATTGGTATAAACTTCTAATCACTGTAAGTTATATGCATCTGAATTTTCTTGAGATAGAATTCTTAACAACAACGTTTCCCCTACAGGCTGTATTGAGATAAGACTGACCATACATCCGAACCACTACGTAATGTTTGTATAATAAATAAAGAATTGCCATACAATAATGAGTTGTGTTATAAGTACCTACTAAAAAGAGATGAGTACCATGCTATCAATACAATTATATGAAATAAGAATGATTCAAATATACAATACTATTCCGGTCATTTCTACGCCATGCAGGTTTGTATAATTTATTTTTTCTTATTCGTCATCTTTTGCATAAATAATCATTAAATTTATAAAATAAACATACTGCCAGTTTAAAAATAAGTTGTTTGTTAACGATTACTTCTGACAATCTTATTTTTAAATGAATTTATAATCTTGTGGATCACAATACAAGTAACGAACGAACAAAGAACAAATTATACATATAAGAATTAAAATTTCCTCATTTGCAAATACTAGCTGAACTAAAGTTACAAAGTACATTTTTATATTAATGTCAAACGATACATCTAGCGAGGGTGCTATTGTCAATAGAAAAATATACTCTCTCTGTCTCATTGGTACCGTAGAAAAATAACTCGTTCCGCTAATATGAAGCAACCGTACCGCCGACAAGGCTTACTACACAGTTCATATCCGATATTCACAAAATATAAACTTTAAACCAATCGAATATAGAACTTGTACGTTCTGGTCTCGTCTTAATTGGCTTATTTATTGAACAATCTTGTCATATCTTTTTCAATTATAACAGTAATGCCAAGATTGTTTACTGAACATGCCAAATATAGGAAACGGTATATAAATATAAATTACTACTACGATAAAAAATATTTTACACTATCTGAATTTTAATTAATAATAACGTATGCTCACAACGTTACCCCCAGGGGGTCAGTCAGAGGCATTTGTTAATCTCAATCAATAGAGTTTCTAATTAAAATATCACATAAGTGAAGTATTACATTCTAAAGTACATTATGGCTGTCAAAATAATAAAATAAAATAGTATTAATTATTGTTATTTAACACTTAAAAATCAGGATTTCGAAGATTTTTTTTTCTTAGTAATGCAGGTTGAGCAGTTATATTTTGAAATTTGTGTTTTATGGGAGCTAGCTCGTGTTGCTTAGCTGTCGACTATCACCAGATTGTAGCGTTACAAAAATATGAAATGCACTGACCAGGCAACGACTGATTCCATTGGCTCGACGTACTATAATTTGATCGACTGCGACAGCGAACTAGCGGTACTGTGCGATAGCGTTTTTCATGTTTTCCCGTTTATAAATGTATAAGTTTTTTTGTTTGTCCGTATAATTTTTTATCAAATTTACGTATTTAAAAGTAAAATGGACAAAAAGTGAAAAGCTATAACGGGTAATAATTTAAATTAGCCTTTTGGTTAATTTTATGTAATGTTATTTCGATTGAAAACAATCGAAAAAAAATATATTAAATTATTTGGTAATAAATTGAAAGAAATAAGAAAGAAAGAAAGAAATAATGATAATAATTTAATTGATTGGTAAATAAAGTACTATTGTTAATTTTTATAAAGAGTCTCGTACCGTGCCGCTAGTTTATATTACATACAATCTTTCCATACACGGAACTGTTCACAAGTCGATTTGCTTATGGAGTTTATTTACACAATCCTAAGGTCTCTCTTGTAATAATGAACAGTATTTCATATAGGTGATGATGTGTCTTATATGTTCAAATTACATTACATAACAGTACATTAATAACAATACAATGGACAGAAGGTAACATTTGTCGACGCCATGTCGTGCCTGCGTGCGCGCTCGCTGCAACCTCGCTTACCAATTTAACGAACCTAATTTTTTCCCTCTCTCTCCTTTTACGTCAACGATAAATTAAATAGTGGAGTGGTACGCGTTTGTAACTAAATGTAGAATAATTGCTAATAACTTACAACGCCTATACGAAGGAACAATACCATAACCGGTGATATCAATCGAATAACATTGTCCGAGGTGCGTAGCCATAGGGAACAAAATTGAACTACTCAACGGTTTTTGTATCCGTACGGCTTTCTGAACGCGTATCAAGTTTTTTTTGTTTTTTTTTTTTATTATACATATCAGTCAAAGAACACATTTTAATAAATATTATCGGTAAGATTTTGGATTGTTTCTTCTACATTATGTTATGTCATAAATAAAAAAGCGAAATATCTCGAGATGGGAAATTAAATGTGTAAACGAAATGTCACTTTTACAAATAACTTCACGTTAGCTTTTCATGCAATTTATATATAATTTATACAGGCCTGTGCAGACGGTGGACTTCTGTCGCGAAGGGAAAACCGTCGCGTTCACAGACAGCCTAATTATATTACGATATAGCGGCATAAAATTGGTTTCACTACATTCATTCACATCGTTTCGTAACGCCCGCATTACTTTTCTAAAACTAAAACAGTCATTAAACCATGCGTTTTCTTTATAAATAAAACTAGCCTCATAGGCGCGTAATCAACCAATTTTATGCCGTACAATGAATTCGTCCGTGGAAGCTTCGTTGCTGATGGAGCAAATATTTCAGCAATATTGCTCAAATGTTTTTTCACAGCATAAGTTTCACACGTTCTAAGTCATCGAAACAAATTTCGTAATGCAATTTAGCTTTGTTTACACAAACTTGTTTTAGCGTGGTCTATTTTGACGGACTATTTTTAACGCCCGACGTCTGCGCAGGCCGTAATGTGAATGTAGGTGACGTGGTACGAAGATGTAGATGCGAAGACGGGCGGGGGTTCAGCCCCAACAGGGTTTAGAGGGGATTTTCCACTCAGCTGAGCGGGCGGCCGACGCCCGCGCCGGCCGCGCGCCGCCGCTGCAGGTAGCGGCGGCGCGCGGCGGCCAGCAGCTGCGCCTTGCGCCGCTGCAGCAGCGCCTGCCGCTCGGCCGCGCTGCCCGAGAACAGGGAACTGATAGGCGCCGCCAACGTGCTGCCGAACATATGCCTATATTAATCCTCATGCAACTTTAGAATGAGAAACATGCCCCTACCTACTTGATGGAAAGAGGTAACTCTGGGGGGGAAAGGGATTGTTAGTAATGAGATCTAATAGTTCCATTGCTAGCAATATACTCTATCAGGTCGATCTCCACGTAGTTCCCCCTGAAAACCATGGTAGTTAATTTTTGAAATGAAATGAAATTTATTTGCTAGAAACATTGTAGAAAAGGTGTTGCATTTGTGAATTCTCACAGAATTCTCACGGAATCCTTCATAGTGGGCTAACTAACTTGCTTTCACCCTCATCTATCACCTCACACTGGTGCCCCGCCAGTGTATACCGATAACGCAGCCGGGGTTACCGTGCCATTTTCACCCATTAAAAAAACAGGAGTACCTCTTGTATGGAGACGACAATAGCACGATGACGATACGATACACTACAATATTTATGGTATATCAGAGCCGAGCCGAGCCTTGCTTCTCTTATTATTAACTACTAGCTCTATCCCATTACTTTTCCTGTATGAATGGGAACTAAAAATAATTAGCAGTGGGTTTGCCAGTACTTGCCACGCTTAGCAGGCGGATTGGTAATCGCAGTTAGGATTTGGTGATGTATTATGAGAGATACTGCTACCTGGAACGTTAAACTTTCTCAGTCGCCTCTTACGACACCCACAAGGAAGAAAGGGGCATACCGAGTGCACACAGCATGACAAAAATAATCATCTAATCATATATAATTGGGGAGAAAGGGATTGTTAGTGATGCTGATTACCGTTCTCATTGCTAACAATATACCCTAACAAGTCGATCTCCCCGTGGTCCCCCCTAGAAACCACCATGCTGAATTCCAAGTGTATTCATCACGATGGGCTAACTGACCTGTCTTTTCATTCTCACGTATATCATGAGGAATATCATGGGCGAAACAGTATACCCCGGTGTTTCCCAACGTGGGGCCCACGCCGGGGGGCAATTAAAAAAAGGACTCGAAGCGATTTTAAACCTCTTTCTCCGGGCCATTTAAATGCAATGCTACGAGTAGATATCAGTGCCAAAAAAAGTAAATAAAAAAATGCTGTAAATATTTATTAAGTATAATTTCGTTTGACGTTTGCTATAGTAGATATCTATCAAGTATTACGACACACCCTCAACGGCGATCGGATCGGACCACCTAGCATGACGCAAGAAGGTGCGCTACCGAGAAAGACACCTGCGTTGAGTCAGCATTTCAATTCCCGCAGCAAATATACCTATTTCCTTTATGTTTGATTGGATATAACTTCACTTACGGATCACACATCGATCTGAACACACTTATTATTGTAATAATTAATTTTAGAATTAAATTTAGTTATATTTATAAAATAAAATTGGTATTTTTTTAGGTCTTCCGCCAGCGACTTCAATTACTCGTTACCAAATAATCAGCTGAGCGATTAGAGTCGTCAAGTAAACTTTATCGGGAAAAATTATGTATGCATAAAAATTTAAAAAACGTTCAAGTTGGGCGTGGCCCAAAAAAGGTTGGGAAATACGGGTACACTCTGTTATGTCCATGTTACTGCTCATGTCTATAGGCGAGGGTTACCACTTTCCATCAGGTGGGCCGTCAGCCTGTTTGCCATTCTATGTAAGTTGCATAAAAAAAATATGTTAATAGCTTTTTACTTAACTAACTAAGGAAGCAAGATTTGACTTTTGTTTGTAATGTTTAACCGTGCGAAGCGAGGGCGGTTCACTGGTATAAAATAAAGTTACCTTTCATCAGCATCATCGAGTTCTGACAAGTAGGGCTCCGGAAAGCTAGGGGTGTCGGTGGTAACAGAGGTGGTGGTGGCGGTGACAGCAGCGACGTCCCCGTCCGCGGTGGCGGTGGCGCCGGTCACAGCTGCCGGCTCCGGACTACTGCGACTCTCTTGTACGGACAGCATCGGCGCTGTACACATATATAAATCTTTCTCATTTCTGATAAATAAATTTAAAAAACCAATAACATACGGTAATTTGCTATGTATTATATAAATGATTTTTTTTTAATAACAATTACAGGATATATATAGTAATGAAATATAACAACCATATTAAATAAATAATTTTTAAATATGTAAAAAATAATAAAATTAGGTTAGGCCTGAAAATTGCATGTTATTCGAACAAAACAGTCAAACTGACGTTTATAAACATGAACAGCATCGTGGATTACACTGTGATGCTCACGGTGCCTCACATGCGTCGTTACTCCTGAAGATCAGAGGAGGTACTATGCTCTCGTGTCCTGTAATTTCACTGCTATATCCCACCCTTCAGAGACAGTCATGCAATGCAAGCTTAATATAGAAAATATTATCCAGCTCGAGGGACCACAACTCAGTGCTTTTACAAGCAGAAGCACAGAGTTGTGTTCCCTCGAGCCGGACACGGGTGTGAGGTTACCGTATTGCGCGAGCTCGTGCGTGGGCGGCGTGGGCGGCGTGGGCGGCGTGGGCGGCGTGGGCGGCGGCGTGGGCGGACGCAGGCGGCCCTCGAGCACGTTGTGCGCGGTGCGGTCGGCCGAGCGCGTGGCGGCCAGGTCGCGCGCCAGCGTCGCCAGCGGGAACTGCGGGAACAGCTGCTGCACCTGCGCACACGCCGCCCGTTACACCGCGTCAATATTTATACACAGGGCCGAACTTAGATTTCTTAAGAATCGGCAACGCGCGCGTAACTTCCCTGGTGTTACAGGAGTCCATAGGCCACGATAATCCCATTACCATCAGACGGGTCGTATGCCTGTTTGCTACCATAATACTATAAAAAGTCCGGACGCCCTGGGCGCTGCCCGATTGCCTAAAATCGATACTGTCCACATATAGATCATAACTACGGAATTATGGGGCGACAAACATTAAAAAATACATAAAAAAAAAACACATCCATACAACTGCCGTCAGTTATAAACCGATGTGCAAAATTATTTTTTTATGTAAAAGGATATGTAGTATAATAATGTGGGTAGTGTAAGATAAGGTTTTTATATTAGTACCTTCGATATAAAATAAACAGCATTGAGCTAGCAAGTTGCGTTTCACTACAGGATATACTTACGGATTGGTCGCATAGAAATTTTATCAAAATCTGTCCAGTAATTTAGTTTTAAAATTAAAATACTTGTTTAGGTTTTATAGAAGTGCAAGGTGGTCTTTGACGTTAGCTTTTTAATAAAACAAACCCGATTAATTTGTAATACACGTACCTGGCGGCGATGGGGTCTAACAGCCCCATTGCTAGCAATGTTACTAATCAGGTTGACCTCCACGTGGTTCCCCCTGGAAACCATCATGGTTACTTCTCGTGGAATTCTTCACGAAGGGCTAACTGACCTGCTTTCATCCTCATCTATCATCCCTCACTGGTGCCCCGTCAGCGTATACCATTAGCAGGCGGGGTTATTATTTCATTAACACCTATTAAACAAAAAAACATTTACCTGGCGCGCCATGGCGTCCAGCTGCGAGGCGGAGAGCGCTGGCGGCGGCGGCTGCAGCCGCACGCGCGTCACCTCCACCGAGAAGCTCGGCAGCCACGACACGTACCGCGACCCTGCGCACGCGCACACGCACTCATGCTAGCAGCGGGAACTAATGCTCCCACTGCTACCCAATCATCATATCAGCTTTTCACTGTCCACTGCTGAACATAGCCTCTCCCTACGAGGGTTTTACCTATAGTCGCCACGCTTGGCAGGCGGGTTGGCAAGCGCAGTTAGGCTTTGGAGATATTTTAAGAGGGATGCGGCTGCCCATCCCTACTGCTACCCTGTCAGCTCACAATCAATTTCTCACAATGAGTCAACTGGACTGAATAATAATATTAAGTACTATACAAGCCTTGGCCACAACTAGGCATATGTGTGCCTCGGTTACGCCTCGGCCCATATTTGCACGTTCGTCCATCAATGCCTCAGTTGCTGGCCGCTGCAGTAATGTACTATTACCAGATTAAGATACGGCCTCATGCTACTAACTTACAGCTCGCAAAGAAATTACAGGGCAGAGGCATAACTCCTTAGTCCTGGGGGGAAAGGGATTGTTAATAATGGAGTCTAATCAACCCATTAGTAACAATACACCCTATCAGGTCGACCTCCACGCGATTCCCCCTGGAAACCATTGTGGTTAATTCTAGTGGAATTCATCACAATCGGCTAACTGACCTGTTTTCATCGTCACCTATCATCTCTCACTGGTGCCCCGCCAGTGTATACCAATAGCGCAGGCGAGGTTACCATTCCATTATCATGCACTAAAAAAAACACCTTAGTCCTAAGGAGTGGCAATGAATGAGGGGTATCACGGGCTATACAATATACTTTGTTATGCCCATAGTGCTGTTCGTATCTATAGGCGACAGTTACCAATTTTCATCAGGTCATCAGTTTTCGTCAGCTTGTTTGCCATTATAAATTACATAAAAAAATTTACTTAAAGCATCAAACAGGTCAACTATAACTTATGTATATATTTAATTTATATACAATTTTATAGGAATTTAGAGAAATTGATTTTACTTTTCGACGGGAAAATCAGTCCTCCAGAGAAATGTCTACGTACTGAATGTGACGTGAACGAGGTATAAGAGCCAACGATCGCCATGTACCTGTGGCACTGCATCGCAGCACGAGTATATTGTTATGTACGCATACAAGCAGCGCCACGAGGCACAGCAGCGTCGAGAGGGCGACGTGACATCTCATCTACCGCATGCTCCTTGGCTGCGCTTTCCTGCACGGCCGGCTTTACTAGTTACGCTTACTACGCGCCACGGGGGATTTGCACTCAATATGACATTTTGTGTCAGATCGTTTACATGACAGTTTGTATTTTTTTTTATTTGTTAAATAAGGCGTGATTGGAGGGATTAGAACTTTTTACTGTTTTAATATCGGGTGAACATATATATTGTCATTTTTTTAATTATAATTTTGGCAAAAGGCTATTGTTGCACATTATGTTGTTTTTTTTTTTGATGGGTGTAAATGGTATGGTAGCCCCGCCTGCGCTAACGGAATACGCTGGCGGAGCACCAGTGAAGGGTGATAGATGAGAATGAAAACAGGCCAGTTAGCCCATCATGACGAAATCACAAGGAATTAACCATGATAGTTTCCAGGGAGAACCGCGAGGAGGTCGACCTGGCTGGGTATATTGCTAGCAATGGGAATCTTAGTCTCCATTACTAACAATACCTTTCCCCCCTCCAATATTATGTTGTATAATATAGTATAATAAACATGAAGTTAGAACAAGCAAGTGAATCCTTGTTCTTTGTCTACTTTTACATTTTTTAAAAAGAATAACCAAGATTTAAATAGAAAAATATATTCAAATAAATTCAATCGTTCTACAGCTGGGTTTGGAATGTGGTTAATTGTGGAGAAGAGTCCGAAAAGTACACAGCACTCAGTCTTTGTTATAATTTGATTGGATACAATTATATAAAGAGGTAGAAGAAGACTGAGGAATAACTACATGGGACAGATAAAAGAAACACTAGCTGTCATATCGTACAGGGAGGTCAAGGATATGGCCTGGAATAGAGCTGGCTGGAAGAAGATGCATGAATTAGTTGCACCGACAAGAGGAAACTCTTAAATGAAAAAAAAAAGACAATTATATCACATATTTTTCACCACATCTGCCCTTTATACGCTTTCTGTTTTCACCTAATGGTTAGCTGGTAGAGAATGCCATATGGCATTAAGCTCGCCATTTGTACAAAGTTTTATTGTGCAATAAAGAATAAATAAATAAATACAATAAGTGTCACTACTAATACAGAATTTATTTAAACAATGTTGGATCGTTATAAAAATAATTAAAATAAGTTGTAAGACTATTGCGCTGCGTGCGGTGTTCAACGACCAACTGCCGCCGGCCTCCCGTTGCCCAACCGCTACCGGGGTATCCGTTGCTTAGCAACGAGCCAACAGCGCGAGGCTACCGGCGGGTGCGCCGCTATATATATATATATCTACTTACGTAGGGTATTACAACAATTAAATTTGTTGTTTATAAATCATCTATCACGTGTGTTGGCGACAGACCTCTTTTTATATAAGTTTATCTTTTTAGATTTATATTTTTATATATTAAATGTGTTTTTTGATACCTTTTTTTATTTTATTACTTGATTGACATATTGTATTGTTCACGTCTTAATTAAAATATATTATTTATTATTTCTATTATTATTTTTTTTTATTGCCGCCGCTCTTCTCTTCTACCATCGCCGTTAATAACCTATCATCCATATATATATTTTTTTATTAGGAATAACACCTGAGTCCTCAGGAATGGCAACGCATGGGGGGTATCATGGGCGAAACAGTATACTCTGTTATGTCCATGGTACTGCTCATGTGTATAGGCGACGGTTACCATTTTCCATCAGGTGGGCTGTCAGCTTGTTTGCCATTCTAAGTTATATATAAAAAAAAATACAATCAATTACAGTAGGTAATGAAATAACAGATCTACCAGTCATTGTTGTGTTCATCCACATTCCAGGAAGATCAATAACCCTTACAACACGGCCGTCGATCTCTCTAAAACATTCATACCGGACTGGTAGGCATGACTTGCTCCTGAACGTGCGGTTACGTTAAAAATGTCGATATACCTACATATTCAATTGTAATTAATAATCATGTGCGTAATAAACATTAACGCCAATTATCACTGACTTTGTTACAAAGTCCGTTATCAGCGGTTAAGTCGTTAGCTCGTTTGTTATTTGTATCGCTACATAGTATAAAACAAAGTCGCTGGGGGGAAAGGGATTGTTAGTAATGGCGACTGAGAATCCCATTGCTAGCAATATACCCAACCAGGTCGACCTCCTCGCGGTTCCCCCTGGAAACCGTCGTGGTTAATTCCTGATGAATTCATCATGATGGGCTAACTGGCCTGTTTTCATTCTCATCTATCACCCTTCACTGGTGCTCCGCCAGCGTATCCCGTTAGCGTAGGCCGGGTACCATACCATTTTCACCCATCAAAAAAAAAAAAAAAACAAAGTCGCTTCCCGCCGTCTGTACGCTAACATCTTTTAAATTGCGCGACGGATTTTAATGCGGTTTTCGAAAATAGAGTGATTCAAGAGGAAAGTTTATAACGTATATTTTAATATTGTTTTATTTTAATTTATTTAAATATGTCAATAAATATGTAGTAACAATATTTGTACATATTTTAGTATTAAATGCATCGCCTACTTAATTTTCTGCTCGCCTCATGATTAACTGGTAGAGAATAACAGAGGAATAACACCTGAGTCTTCAGGAGTGGCAACGCATGGGGGGTATCATGGGCGAAACAGTAAACTCTGTTATGTCCATGGTACTGCTCATGTGTATAGGCGACGGTTACCACTTTCCATCAGGTGGGCCGTCAGCTTGTTTGCCATTCTAAGTTGTATAAAAAAAAACGCTATTAGGTGTCAAATCCGCCCTTTGTACATTTACTTTTATTATTTATAATTGTGTATTGAAGTTTAAATATATAAATAAATAATTCAAGATGTTGAAGAAATCAAGTAGACTGAGAGCTTTTAATTAAAATGCTGAAATATAACATGTACGATGGAATTGTCCCTCTTTATTAGGACTATAAAAAAATATTTTCTCTCTAACTGCATTGGGTTGACTGGAAGAGATCTTTTTTAGATATAAGTCCACCCTTGCTAACAAGTTGTTACACTAATCGCTGTATCTTTTGTTCAAGAGATGGGGTTCTTCAAAAGGGGGGTAAAGAGGTTTCTTCGGGGTCGGCAACGCGCGCGTAATACCTCTGGTATTGAAGGCGTTCATAGGCTACGGTAACCGCTTACCATCAGGTCGGCCGTATGCTTGTTTGCCACCTCAGTGGTATAAAAAAAAAGTGTAATAAAAAATATATAAATAAAAAGTCAGCGACGGTATTCTATATTATACAAGTAGCTTTCTATAATCATTTCAATGATCTAAAAAATTATAAAAAATATGTGCAGTTTAAGCTTAAACGGATACAATAGTAACATTATTGATCACTCCATATTGACACAGCATTGTTTTTACACTGCACCCGTGCGAAGCCGGGGCGGGTCGCTAGTAGCATATAAATTAATAAAGTAAGTTTGTATTTGTCCACAAAACTCCACAACACGTTATTTACAAAGTAAAACAAATTCAGCACTTCTATTCAGAACGAGATATGATATCTTTTACTACGACCTTTGTCACATCAATAGAATTCAGATATTTACACGACTTTGGAGTTATATAAACAGAAAATTGTATTTTTATACAACTTAGAATGGCAAACAAGCTGACGGCCCACTTGATGGAAAGTGGTAACCGTCGCCTATAGACATGAGCAGTACCATGGACATAACAGAGTATACTGTTTCGCCCATAATACCCCCCATGCGCTGCCATTCCTGAGGACTCAGATGTTATTCCTCTGTACCCAGTAAATTCACGTCATATCCCACCCTTCAAACCGAAACACAGCCATGCAAACACAACTGCTTCACGGTAGAAACACGAATAAGACAGAGGTGTCCAAGCAAACGACTTTTGTGCAGTCTCCCTCTGGTATGACTTGTATAACTGAACTGTTTTATAACCATATTACAGTACGATACTCGAAATAATTCGTGAAAAACATAACGTCATATTTCAATATTAATACAATCTAGGGCATTTTTTGTAAATATGATATGTGGCGTCTGTAAATACATATTGTTATGGGTATATTCACATAAAATTGTATATATATTAGGTGATGGTAGTTTAATAAATCACTTGTCATACGATCGTCGTTTCAATAACATTTATAACATGGTGTCAGGTGTGGGGTATGTATGTACTCTCATAGACAAGTCTTAATTAAAAATAATTATCTCCTTGGGGCCCTGAACCCCGGTCAACTGCGGCTCTGTTGGGGGCTAGTTTGCCACCTCCTCTCCTTAAGAGGGATATCAATTTTGTTAAAAGAAATATTTTTTTTTTATTTATTCATTTTAGACAACTCAGGTCCATTTTTATCAGTAATGCTCTAGTCGTCTCGGTAAGCATTTAAGGTTACTAGCCATCCATACTTTTTCTATTTTACAAATTTATTATAATCACACTTATAGCTGAATTCATTCGACATGCAACGCAATACAATGGTTCATACGGAAAGAATCAAGCCTATTTGCCAACACGGTTAGGACGCAATGAATTAGCTCAATGCGCACGTGATACGCCTAGTGTTGCAGGCGTCCGTAGGCTACATTGACCATTTACTATCAGACGGACTGTACACTTGTTTGCCACCTTTGTGGTACAAAAAAAAAATGGCAACTTTTGTAAAATAATTTTGACCCTCGATTTGTGTAAAACAATAAAAAAACCAATAAGTAACTCATCATCATGTCAGCCATTATCTGTCCACTGCCGAATATAGGCTTCAAATGTGTTGCAGCGCGTCTATTAACTAAATAAGTACATACAATACTGACCATCGAAGTGGAAGAGGTGGTTGGGGTGACGCTGCGGTCGGTCGGCGGGCGGCGGGTGGTGGGGCGGCACGTGCGGCGCGAGGGCGGCGGCGGGGCGCGGGTGCTGGTGCGGGGCGGGGGGCGAGGGCGGCGGCGGCGGCGGCGGCGGCGGCGACGGCGGCGCGGCCGCCAGCGCGCGCCGGCACGTGGGGCACGACGCGTCCTGCTGCACCCACTGGCACAGGCACGAGCTGCCCCAACAGACCATGTTGCATATTCAAATAACGATAGCCCTCCAACAGGCCTTACATCGACGCAGTCGCAGCCGTCGACGGATACAGAGGGCCTACCATGAAATTAAATCCTGAATTTTCGGTCTCAATTTCGTGTTTTTGTTCACAACGAAATTAACGTAGTTAATGGAGTTTGACATTTCGTTCGTCATAAATCTTAATATAAAAGTCCAAAGGAACGATATTTTAGTATTTTTAATATTTTTAAACGGTACATATCATGTAGTTTTAATATTAAATTTGTGTTTCGTTTGAACCCGAAATTTCGGAAAACATTTCATGGTAAGCCCTCAGATCTCTCTATTGATTGTTCCAAGATCTATATGCGGCAGTAACACTTAAAGAGTTTAAAAAGAATTATTACTACCATCGTGGTTCGGAAGACGCGTAAATCTGTCATCCAACAAGAATTACAGATCTTTTAAATGGATGATAATGGAATGGTAGCCCCACCCGCGCCATCGGTACACACCGGCGGGGCACCAGTGAAGGATGATAGGTGAGGATGAAGCAAGTCAGTTAGCCCATCGTGACGAATTCAACAAGAATTGTTCACGATGGTTTCCAGGGGGAACCACGTGGAGGTCGACCTGATAGGGCATATTGCTAGCAATGGGGCTGTCTAACTCCATTGTTAACAATAACACGCAAGGTTTCTAATAATTATTGTTTAGGTTTCTATTAGTCTGATTAAGAGCCCTATTAATTTTTTTCAAACATTTTCGATGTACAAACATCGTCGGTTGTATTTTCTTTGTTTGTTACTCCATAACTTCGTCAGTTCGAAACCGATTCGGAAAATTTATCTGAAAGGATATGCTTACAGATTCGTTCCATGGATTTTGTCCAAATAGGTTTAGTGGTTTATAAATCAAAATAACAAGTTTTGTCACAATTGAGGTCTATTTTTTTTTTTTTTATTGAACACTGTCGTAAATTATAATCTGTTTAGAAAGGATCGTTTACGAACGTTCGTGCGTTTCGCAAACAGTCTCTGTATTGTCATTTTTGACGTTTGTTTATGATATCGATCGTCTCACGCTTTGCTTTTGTGTTGAGTCATTCTTAAAAAATAAAGTATTCACATTAAGTACTCGTTTTTAAATATTAAATTGAAATCCAAGTGATCCCCCACTACAACCCCCAAGAAAATACGTAACAGACACAATCTTTATTTTATTATGTTAGAAAGATAATAATTATAATATATTGAAAACAGACTATTCGTGTTTCTACCGTGAAGCAGTTGTGTTTGCATGGCTGTGTTTCGGTTTGAAGGGTGAGATATGGCAGTGAATTTACAGGGTACAGAGGAATAACACCCGAATCCTCAGGAATGGCAACAAATGGGGGGTGTCATGGCCGAAACAGTATACTCTGTTATGTCCACGGTACTGCTCATGTCTATAGGCGACGGTTACCACTTTCCATCAGGTGGACCGTCAGCTTGTTTGCCATTCTAAGTTGTATAAAAAAAAAGCCTCCCTTTAGTCGATGCTAGTTCCTAAAATATTTAAAATTATCTAGTTCCACCATCTTAAAAGTTTTATAGATTTACAAAACAAAACAAAACAATTACTTGTGGAACAAATGTGCACACGGCAGCTTCCTGGCCTCCTTCATGGGCTCCCAGCAGATGGCGCAGTTGTCCTGGTTCTTCTCCACTTCTTCCTTACTCGCCATTGGGTAACTGCAACGGTGAATATTAATCGTATTAATCTTGAACAATTAAATCAATAAATGTGCGCCTGCACCGTGCAAGTAATACATATATTTTATTGTCGCCTTCGTCCGTATGATCAGCGGGTCTACCATGAAATAAAATTCCGAAATTTCGGACTCAATTTCGTATTTTGTTTATACCAAAATCGGACCAATAAACGGAGTTTAACATTTCGTTCGTCATACATCCTATCATAAAAGTCCAAAGGAACAATACTTTTACATTTTTAATATTTCCAAACGGCATGTATTATGTAAATTTTAACATCAAATTTCTGTTTCGTTTGGCTCCGAAATTTCGGAAAACATTTCATGGTAGGCCCTCAGAATATGCACTACTATGACCGGGGTAAAAAGTACTCTACTTTTTTTTTATTTTATATAATACAAAAATTCACAGCTCTTAAAAACAACTTACATACTAAGTCTGTTATAAATACAGCTAATAATGGAATATTATAATTGTAAAGCGAGGCAGGCAAGTTAGAGTGAGTGTATGCAAGTAATGTAAGTGCATGTACATGTGTCCATAAATTCAGAATACTTTATACATAGTTATCATTTAAATAAATACACATATGTGTATTTATAATATATTAATATATTATTATTTGTATATTTTCCATATCACTACTAATTGTTTTAATAATTAACTCAATTAACATTTATATTTTTACTTTTTAAATTTTACATACATAATTATGGCGAAATATGTGAACACACACCTACTGTTAACATCTATAAAACTTATCATGTTTCTTGTAAATAAATATTTATTTAATAATAAAAAAAAAAAAGGTATAAACAAACATTTGCATCGAATTATTTGTTGCATCACTGTTTGCATACAATTGCATATTTATCACTTACTAATTATAGGTAAGTATGATCCCAATTAAAAACGAATTAGGCGCCGTCAACAATGTTGCTAATGGCACAACGTACTCCCAATTCAAGTTAATCTTAGTCACAAAAAAAAATATATAAGAGATAATCGTTTATTTACGACTGTTTACGACTATTTACGACTGTTTACATTTGCAGCTATTTGCGACGTAAACAAAAACAAAACAAAATCGATCACTAATTGTTATACGTAAACCTGTAATCACTTTGGTTTATTGTTAAACACTTACTATTTTTACTGACTGTAAAACTTTTCGCTTCATTATATCATCACCATCATCATATCAGCCTTTAACTGTCCACTGCTGAACCTAAGCCTCCCCCTAGGGGGTTTTGCCAGTAGTTGCCACGCTTGGCAGGCGGATTGGCAACTGCAATTAGGCTTTGGAGATGTTTTAAGAGGGACGCTGCTGCCCATCCCTCGTCCTCCCTCAGTCGCCTCTTACGATACGCACGGGAAAGGATGGGGTGGCCTATTCTATGCCGGGAACGACACGGCTGTCAGTGTCATCATATCCTACCAGCTGTTAATTGTCCACTGCTGAACATAGGCCTTTAGTTGTCACGCTTGGCAATAGCAATTGTTCCTATGATTGATTCCTCTCAGTAACCATACCTTTCCATTTATTTATTTTTATTTATTCATTAGTACAAATATGTGTACACGGCGGACTTAATGCTAAAAGCATTCTTTCTCAGTCAACTATAGGGAAGTGTCAGAATACTGGAATGCGTTACTAGTAATTATTGATATACATACATACTAAAATTACATATATACACGAATAAATATATATAAATAACAAATATACTTACACATATATGACATATACTATATTATACACGAAATTGAGAATAATATAAAGTATTTACTGCTCGGATAAAGTAAAAAAGTGAGTATGAACGTTTTTTTTTAAAGACAGTTTAGTCGGTATTCTCTTAATGGCATCAGGAAGCGGGTTCTAGAGTCGTGAAGAATATAGGAGAAAAGAATTAGTCTTAGATTTTTTTTATGTACGACAATGAAATATTGACTCGGCCTGCATTGTCTGTCTACGTTGGCGGGTTACCGGCAACAGATACGGCGGTGGCGTGGTACTGACTTGCGGCTCATGTGGTGCGCGAGCGTGGTGTAGGTGCGGTGGCGGCGCAGGCGCGCCTGCAGCTCGTGCAGCAGGTGGCGAAGCTGCATCAGCAGCACCAGCGACGCCATCGACACCAGCATGTTGCTGTACACCACCATGTGCACCACGTCCATCAGCTCCACCACCAGCAGCACCGACTGCACGCACGCACACACGCACACATCAACATTAGCACACACGAATGCCTCCACTACTACAACTGCACTACAATCAGTTGGGAGATGTTAATACATTTATCATCTCAGTGTACGCATCTATGTCTAGGTACGACGCTGTGCATACATTGAGTCTCATGTTGATGGAAACGACTCAGAAATATCTGGAGTCGGGTTAAATAACTTTATTATAAATTTATATACATATGTTAGCACACTAGGTTTATAACATTGATTTGGCTTTTGCTGTCATAATGTTATAATTATTTTATTATTTTTAATAAAAAAATGTTATAAATTTATTAATAAAAAAAAAAATGTTATAAATGTTACATAAATGTTAGATTATAAAACATTTTTTTTTATACAACTTAGAATGGCAAACAAGCTGACGGCCCACCTGATGGAAAGTGGTAACCGTCGCCTATAGACATGAGCAGTACCATGGATACAACAGAATATACTGTTTCGCCCATGATACCCCCCATGCATTGCCATTCCTGAGGAATTTCAGAAAAAAACTTTACTAAATTGTCTCGGATCTGGGTATTCTGGATTGCGCTCCCAAAATTTTGTTTGATTCGGTATAACATGAGGTATTATTTATTTTACCAGAGGGACACTTTGTACTAAAGTCGTTTGAGTACCTTCGTGTTTCTACCGTGAAGCAGTTGTGTTTGTATGGCTGTGTTTCAGTTTGAAGGGTGGGATATGGCAGTGAATTTACAGGGTACAGAGGAATAACTCCGAGTCCTCAGGAATAGCAACCCACGGAGGGTGTACTTGGTACTGTTCATGTGTATAGGCGATGGTTATCACTTTCCATCAGGTGGGCCGTCAGCTTGTTTGCCAATCTAAGTTGCATAAGAAGAAGCTAATTTTATAAAGTAAGCACTAACATACTAATCTGTGACATTATTCTTGTAACAGGGATATATTTATCGACCATGAATGTCAAACAAGCTTGTTTGCCATTCTAAGTTGCACAAAATAATTATAGCTTACACACCAGAGCGCTAATTTAAACTTAAAACCCGACAGTTTTACTGATTAAGTTATCCTGCAAATAAGCACCAAAGACACAGGTAAAACAGGACCGCTTAACCACGTGTCCTAAACCTGTTAAGTAGGGGGATTGTTAGTAATATGGACTAATGGGCTTATTGTTAGCAAGCCCTATCAGGTCGACCTCCACGTGGTCCCCGCTGGTAACCATCATGCTGAATTCCAGGTCTATTCATCACGATGGGCTAAATAACCAGCTATTCAGTCTCACTTATCATCTCTCACTGGTGCCTCGCCAGCTTATACAACACAGGCGAGGTAACCGTTCCATTATCATTGATTAAAAAAAAATTTGTATTCTCATTTAGTGATAAACTCCCCCAGACTATTGCTGCCATTGTTCGTGGTATAAGTGCCATAGTCGTGTACCGCTGGCATGGGCCAGCATATGGTGGGTGTAAGCACGGTACTCACCTCGAAGCCGAGGTGCGTGTAGTAGGCGAGCGGGCCGGCCGCGTCCGCCTCGTGCACGTGCAGCACGTAGCGCGCCACCACGTGCAGCGCGGACACCAGCACCAGCACGCACTGTACACCACACACCAACAACATTAACAACTACACTTCAGTGTATACACGGGGACACAATGGAACTCTTTAGCATCCTTTTAACTGAATACTAGCTGTATGCCGCAGCCTCGCTCGCGTGGACAAGACAAACAAACCATCCTATTTCCAAAGTTACGATATACTCTATCCACCCACTAAATTATATTCAAAACCGTTCAGTAGCATTTACGTGAAAGAATAATAAACACAGGAATTTACCAGCGAAACTAAACATTTTTAAGAAAGAAATGTTAGCTGATAAACGACAAAAAAATTGAGTCTCCCATGCCTAAAACGGACTCTTGGTCTTCAAGATAACAAGGGAATGATCAAGGCAGAAAAAAAAAATAGTTTTAACTGCATGTGTATGTTAGTTTGCGTGCGTGAGTGTGCGTGCGTGCGTGTGCATGTGCGTGCGTGTGCGCGTGCGTGAGTGTGCGTGCGTGCGTGTGCATGTGCGTGCCTGTGCGCGTGCGTGCGAGTGTGTGTAATGCGTGGTCATGTGCGTGTGTGCTTGTGTGCGCGTGTGCGCGCGCGTGTTTGCGTGTGTGTGCTTGTGTGCGCAAGTGCGCGCGCGTGTGTGTGTGTGTGTGTGTGTGTGTGTGTGTGTGTGTGTGTGTCCGCGCGCATGTGTGTGTGAGCGAGTGCGTGTGCGTGTGCGTGTGCAGGTACCTCCGCGGCCATGAAGACGAAGGTGTCGCAGCCGGCGGGCAGCCCCCAGGCGGCGGCGGCGGCCAGCAGCGCCACGCTGGCCGCCTGCACGCCCGCCACCAGCGCCAGCAGCCGCGCGTGCGCCCACCGCTCCGCGTGCGGCGACGACGACAGCTGCCGCCCCGCGCAATACAAACATTGTTTTGAAATTGGAATGGAAATTGTGATAGTGCTATTTTCTGATCTGATGATAGTTGAGGATGAAGTCAAATCATTTGCAATTATACTATGGCAATTAGCATACAAGTATGTGTTATGTTTGGTATATTTTCAATCAACCTCAAACAAAAGGTCCTCAAATTCGGTTGTATTTTTTTTTATATATTACCTCATAACTCCGTCATTTCTAAACCGATTTGGGAAATTCCTTTTTTGTCTGAATGGATATATTAAGAGATTAATCCTGAATAAATTTTATACAAATCGCATAAGTAACTTAGTTTTTAGATCAAAATAACAAGTTTTGTCGCAATTAAAGTCAATTTTTGTGGGACACAATCTTCAATTATTTAATCAGTTATTTTCTGAACATATAAAGTTGTGTAAAAATACAATATACATATTGTTTTTTTTTTTGATGGGTGAAAATGGAATGACAACAAAATGGTTTCCAGGGGGAACCACGTGGAGGTCGACCTGATAGGGTCTATCGCTGGCAATGGGTCAGTTAGACCCCATTACTAAGAACCTCCCGCCCCTTTCTATCTATTTAGGTAAGTACATATAAACAATATAATTGTAGCTGTTAATTTAGTATTAAATTAAGAATTCTTAGAAAATGTTATTTTAATTGAATGACACGTTAATACGTTAACATATAAATATAAAATACGATAACATATAAATAGCATGCGAGTGGCGTACATAGGCACCTACCAACGATACGAGTACTAACCCACTAACGCGATCGTTAGCGTTTCTATCAACGTGACACTAGGTCATTAGCTAACAGGTTTCCTTCTGTTTACTACAATCCGTGAATAATAAATCAATATTAATAATAATTTTAAATCATTATTTTATTTTTTATTCTTTTTCGTTTTCGTTCCTCTTTCGTTTGTTCTTATATATTTTTTTTGTTAACTCCTATTTTTGTTGCTTTGTGTACAGCGCCTTGTATCCCATTCGTGTTTCAACCGTGAAGCAGTTGTGTTTGCATGACTGTGTTTCGGTTTGAACGGTTGGATATGGCGTGAATTTACAGGGTAGAGAAAAATAACACCCGAGTCTTCAGGAATGGCAACACATGGGGGGTATCATGGGCGAAACAGTATACTCTGTTGTGTCCACGGTACTGCTCATGTCTATAGGCGACGGTTACCACTTTCCATCAGGTGGGCCGTCAGCTTGTTTGCCATTCTAAATTGTATAAAAAAAAAATCTTTTTGCTCTAGTGTAGCCCTGGTTTTCCTACGAATAAATAAATAAATAAATTATTAATTTGTCAATTAAATAATACACACTAAACGATATGACAATAGGTGTCATAATGAGATTATTAACTGAAATCGACTGCGTACGACATATTAGAATTTGAATATAATTACAAAATTTATTTTGTACAAAAGTCGATTGCTTGGGCACCTCTGTCCCATTCGTGTTTCTACCGTGAAGCAGTTGTGTTTGCATGGCTGTGTTTCGGTTTGAACGGTGGGATATGGCGTGAATTTACTGGATACAGAGGAGTAACACCTGAGCTCTCAGGAATGGCAACGCATGGGGGGTATTATGGATAAACAGTATACTCTGTTATGTCCATGGTACGGCTCATGTCTATAGGCAACGGTTATAACTTTCCATCAGGTGGGCCGTCAGCTTGTTTGCCATTCTAAGTTGTATAAAAACAAACCATTTTGTTAGTAATATTTAAAATGAGTATAAGACAAAATAGAATAAGCACAATAAAACAAAATAACCTAGAGCACCATGGGTATCACAGAATACGCTATGATGCCCATAGTATCCGTCACACGTTGCTACTCCTGCGTACTAAGGTGGCCTATAACTAGTTCATTGGATTTGGGGGGAAAGGGATTGTTAGCAATGGAGTTTGACAACCCCATTGCTAGCAATATGCCCTATTAGGTCGACCTCCACGTGGTTCCCCCTGGAAAACATCGTGAACAATTCTTATTGAATTCGTCACGATGGCCTAACTGATCTGTTTCATCCTCACTTATCATCCATCACTGGTGCCCCGCCGGTGTATATCAATAGCGCGGGTGGGGTTACCTTTCCATTATCACGCATTAAATGGAAAAACCAGTTCATTGTATACTCACATAGTCGAAGCGGTCCTTGCAGAGCTGTCCGAGCAACTGCAGGAAGCCGAGCACGCTGAACCAGGCGCACCAGAGCAGCACCTCGTCCATATACTGCACGTTGATGACGCCGAACACGAAGATGAACTTGTAGAACACGTAGTTCCAGAACTTGTCCTTGACGCGCTGCGCCTCCGCCACGCGCAGCCGCCCGAACACCGCGCGCTGGATCACCAGCCCGAGCACCGCCAGGCAGCAGTACGCTGTGTTTATCACCGTCTGCAACACAACCACCCCACGAGGGGGAGAGGGATTTTTAATAAACAGCCCAATTGCTAGCAATGTACCCCATCAGGTCGACATCATTCTCGTGGAATGGACTTCATACTTGTTATATGTATAAATAAAAAAAAAATTTGCTACAATGTAGGTAACTTTTAAATAGAATATATCACACCTTAGCATCATAGATATTTTATATACTATAGCGATATCAAGCAAGTATACGCTCCAAGTTATGATAGACGATTACTATAGGCCAAGGAAGCTTACAACACAAGATCGACCCGTAAAAAACCTTGAGGGATTGTTAGTAATGGGGAGTTTAGTCCCCATTACTATCAATATACCCTATCAGGTCGACCTCCACGCGGTTCCCCCTGGAAACTATCGTCACCAATTTATCATTGAATTTCTCACAATGGGCTAACTGACGTGCCTTTTCATCCTCACTTATCACCGCTCACTGGTACCCCGCTAGTGTATACCGATAGCGCAGGCGGGGTAACCATGCCATTTTCACGCATACAAAAAAAATAGATCCGTAAAAAACCTTATTGAGACCTTTTTAAACCAAGCCATACTGTAATTGCTAGGGAAAATTTTCGAAAGGAAGCTAATTCCGCAGCCTGACAGTTGGCGGGAGGAAATTCCTCTGAAACTGTACTGTGCGTGACCATTCAGCCTCTGCGGAGGCATTCAGAATAATCAACTATCTAACACTTCATGTATTACCATTGTCAAACCTTAGAAGTACCACAGGGAGACTTTGTACAAAAGTCGAATGCTTGGGTACCTCTAACCCATTCGTGTTTCAACCGTAAAGCAGTTGTTTGCATGACTGTGTTTCGGTTTGAAGGGTGGGATATGGCGTGAAATTACAGAGTATAGAGGAATAACACCTGAGTCGTCAGGAATGGCAACGCATGGGTGATATCATGGGCGAAACAGTATACTCTGTTATATGCATGCTACTGCTCATGTCTATAGGCGACGGTTACCACTTTCCATCAGGTGGGCCGTCAGATTGTTTGCCATTCTAAGTTGTATAAAAAAAAAAAGTAAACAGCTATGACACTTGTAGAATGCGCGATGATGTTATAATACGACGACATAAGGATATATGTAATACCGATTTAAATTAAAAAAAAAACCTCTAAAAATACAGCTGCATTGAAAATATGCTTGTCCATTAATAAACGGAGGTCACGCAATCGAATTATAGATATTAATAAATACTTATATCGCTTCGAGTCCGCAGCCGACGACCTCCTCGGCTACATTCAAGGTGTAAATAATTTAATTGGAAAGTATTACACAAGGCAAATGAACAATCGCTATTTTGTTTTTTTTTAATGGGTGATAATGGAATGGTAACCCCACCCGCGCTATCGGAATACACCGGCGGGCACCAGTGAGAGATGATAGGTGAGGATGAAGCGGGTCAGTTAGCCGACCGTGACGAATTCAACAAGAATTGTTCACGATGATTTCCAGGGGCAACCACGTGGAGGTCGACCTGACAGGATATATTGCTAGTAATGGGGCTATTCGACCCCATTACTAACAATCCCTTTCCCCCCGACCAATCGCTATTATATTTAGGTGTACGAGTATATGTAAATAAAGACTTTTATGGATGATAATGGAATAGTAACTCCGCCTGCGCTGTCGGTATACACCGACGGGGTAGGTAGTGAAAGGTGATAGGTGAGGATGAAAAGGCAGGTCAGTTAGCCCATAGTGACGAAATCAAAGATAAATTAGTCACGATAGTATCCAAGAGGAACCGCGTGGAAGTCGACCTGATAGGATATATTGATAACAATGGGGACTAATATCGCATTACTAACAATCCCTTTCCCCCTACCGTAACAGGTTGACCTCCACGCGGTTCTTCCTGGAAACCAGGTTAATTTTTGACGAATTCATCATGACTGGCCAACTGACCTGCTTCATCCTCATCTGCCGTCCTTCACTAGTGTCCGCTAGTGTAAACCGATAGGTTCCCCCTGGAAACTATCGTGACCAATTTATCATTGAATTTGTCACAATGGGCTAACTGACCTGCCTTTTCATCCTCACCTATCACCGCTCACTGGTACCCCGCTAGTGTATACCGATAGCGCAGGCGAGGTAACCATGCCATTTTCACGCATACAAAAAAAATGCAATATGACATTCTCTACCAGTTAACCATTAGGTAAAAACAAAAAGCTTATGAAGGGCAGATATATCAACGTGATAATCTGATAAATATCACAAAAAAATACTATTGTACTCATATACATATTAGACCTGTATGTAAACTCCAAGACAAGCTCAGTCTTATATTTTTATCTAAAACGTAATCCAAATAGAATAAACAAATGTAACAGTCATCATTGTTTACAATGATTATATTTATATTTAGCGTGGAAATACGTCTGTTTCCCTATTGACGATAGTAGTGATAATTAAATGCCGCTCGCCGACTCCGTGCCAACACATAACTGTTCGTATCACACGTAGCTAATAAGCAACGGAGCATGCTCATTAAATAAAACATATTTAAAATAATACGAAGTGTGCAGATTTTTATCTGTATTGTATACATTTTTTTTTGATTGGTGAAAATGGTTCGGTAGCCCCGCCTGCGCTAACGGGATACGCTGGCGGAGCACCAGTGAAGGGTGATAGATGAGAATGAAAACAGCCCAGTTAGCCCATCATGATGAATTCATCAGGAATTAACCATGATAGTTTCCAGGGGGAACCGCGAGGAGGTCGACCTGGTTGGGTATATTGCTAGTAATGGGATTCTCAGTCTCCATTACTAACAATCCCTTTCCCCCCTAAGTATTCTTTACATTACATATACTTTTACAAACTCCGAGGGCCCCCCTGAGCTTGGGGGGCCCGAAGCACTGCCAGTCTAGTTCTCCAGTAGCGGGGGGAAAGGGATTGTTAGCAATGGAGTTTGACGGCCCCATAGCTAGCAATATGCTCTATTAGGTCGACCTCCACATGATTCAACTGGAAACCATCGTAAACAATTCTTATTGAATTCGTCACAATAGGCTTACTGACCTGCTTCATCCTCACCTATCATCCTTCACTGGTGCCCCGCCGGTGTATACCAATAGCGCGGGTGGGGTTACTATTCCATTATTACCCATTAAAAAAAAAGCCCTCCAGTAGCTACGCCACTGAACATATGCACTTTTTAAAGGGTTAACCCTTAAAAATGTTTTTAAATATGCCAATGTGATATGCATATAATAAAATTGTAACTAAACGTTGCCTGAGTTATAAGACATATTTGTATGTGTGCTGTTAAGTTTGTGTATGTTATGTATTTGATTGTGTATATATTATAAATGTATGTGTATATGTTTGTATATGATAATATTTATATAATAGTGCGCCACCTACCCTTTGTCTTTTTCTCAATGTCCTCTACCCAAAGGTTGTCTGGAAGAGATTGCTTAGCGATAAGGCCGCCTTTTGTATCAATTCTCATTAATATTTACTGTATTTGTTTGTGCAATAAAAGCCAAAACAACATCGTTTTGAAACTATTATCTGTCTGTGTTTATATTTGTACCGGCAGCACACAAAAACTACTACACCAATTTGGATGTGGTTATTAGAGTTGTGTTTCTGAAGGTATAACTTAAAATCCAGCGTGTTTTTTCCTTGACACACTATCTAAAGTGCATTTCACCTTCACGGTAGTCTTTAAAACATAACAACCGATTATAAATTCCTTTTGTAAATGCGTATTATTCGTTCTAACTTGAGAGATAGAACAGTTTTAGCCCAACAAGCAAAAACAGACACGGTAGGCATAACAACGTTTACCGGACCAGTTATTTTATAATAAAAACATTAAATTTTAATGTAACCGGTGGCCGCTGGCCGGCAGCCTTTCACCAGCGAGTTGTGAGATCTCGTGTAGAGCCTTTCTGTTTATTTTGACTATGTAAATATTATTGCTTCGGCGATAACAAATGGCGAACTTATCGCTAGGTAAATAAATTGTAAGGTAAATTACACTGATTACAACTATTTTATTGTTTACAATAAATTCAAGAATATTCATCAATTTATTTAAATTTTAAAACATTATACATCTTTTTTTATAAATACATAACAGTTTGAAGATTGTTTAGAAGAGCTACTACTTCTGTATGAAGTATAACCATCAAGCCTTTCCTAAGGCGTGCCACTTTTTATGGTCTTATGCTTTACGCATTTATTTTTTCCCAGCAATATTGCGCAAACATCGGGCTTTCTAGTATTATAGCATCACCTAAAAACTTCTGAATCGATTGTGATGAAATTTTACCATTTACATATATCTGTCACGCCTGCCTCCCATTAGGGTAGACAGAGACACAATGGAACGCCAAATGCTTCAATTCAAATAAGCCTCTTTCGCTTCCTCCATATACATCAATCTTTTCATACATGTTCGCTGTTTACAGGTACTTTTAATTTGGCCATTCTTCAGCATACGCCTATTTGGTCGATATATGTTCGTCGAGTGCGGCCCCTACCGACATCTCCATTCATTCTTGCTCGATAAATCTCTTTCGTAATTCTTCTTTCATCCATTCTCTCCAAATGGCCAAACTAACGCAACGTTCCCTTTTCATTTTTTGTCATCACATCATCTTTCAGTCTACACTTCTCTCTAATGACGCTGTTTCTCACTCTACCTTTTAATGTAATATCACAAATACTTCTTAGAGCTCTCATCTCTACAGCTCTCTCTCTCTCTAGAGCAAAGGCTTTCGTGTATAACGAAGGCGCCCTAGAAACACTAGAAGCATCAGAGGCCACGAGTATATAATATTATGTTCCGATTACAACTCCAGCTAAAAAAATTTAGTACGGTCAGTGACCCGGTGTGTATTTATTGACTACTGATTCGCACAACGGCCAGCACAATGCTGATATTTTTTTTTTAAATATATATTGCTTAATACGAGTAATTCTAAACTTTCATACATACA